GCCTTCTGGTAGATGACCTGACCCATCACATTTGTCTGCTCTTTCACTTCTAAAAAAATTCCTGGGTAAAGTCTCTAAAAGTTTCGCCGAATAGGCCCATCCGGCATATTGAAGTGTGGTTATCATTCTCACCACATCCAGGGTGGTGGGGGCATAAGAGTGCTGTAAAAAGCAACAAGCATGGCATACATTTTTACAAGCGCGAGCCACGTTCCTAGCTGTGCAACAAACATGTCCTCGCAGTTTACCCCAAACATGCGGCACAGCTCTCATGCTCATCATCCATTGCCAGGTAATCACCCATCGAGAAACGCATGACCAGTACAATAACTGGTCAAAAAAATGTGTTTACCAACCGTGATGCTCTCTTAGTGAAACTGTTTATTTTAGACTGCTCTTATTCACACCCACTGAAATGCCCAGGGGACGGGAAAAGTACCCAGATCGACTGCAGCTGAATTGGTTGTCAACTCCCAGGATGAAAAACTGAAGCTCTCAGTAATAGCAGTGTGTCTGTCCTCAGTGCGTTGGCTCAAACAATGAAACAATACATGTGACAATTTCCGAAGAGGATTTTTCTTAATTCCAGTTGTCAGGGTTCTGCCACTTTGGTCTTGTAAATTCTTGTTTTGGTGGCAGAGCTCTGACACTTCTCATGTCGGGTCCTGTTTCTGTCTCTGTGTGAGCGCGCGCCGTCGTGGGTGTACTTGGAGTGTGCGCGCTCCTGCTTGACGCGGCCGCGCGCGCGCTCTGCGTCACTCAGACGCGTGCGCTCTTGTACTCGTGTTTGTGTTTTCGTTTGTCAGCAGCGTGGTGTTTCATTCCCAGCGTCTCAGTCTTGTTGGTTTCGGTTTTGGTCGGCGCTGGGATGAAGCATGCACGCTGCGTGTGTGTGCGCACGGTGAGTGCTTTCATTCATCGTGTGCTCGTGTCTTGCGTCTTTTGTCAAAGCACGTGGCTCGGTGTTTACATTGTGGTCACGTGCTTTTGTCGTGTGCTTCAGTGTTGTGTTGTGTGAGCGCATGGCTTGTATTGTCTCTCTGTGTCATGCGCTCTCCCGTCTATTGTCTTGTCCCACCCACCTTGTTACCTTGTTTGTAATTATTATTTTCACCTGTCCGCCTGTCTGTTTATTGGTTTGTCTTTCCTATTTATTCTCCTAGTGTGCTCTGTTCCGTGCTGGTCCGTTATTGATTGTTCCCTTCCCTGTTGTATCTGCTGATCTATAGTCTACAACAGTGGTTTAAAGTATTGTCTTGTCAAGTTCCAGACCTTGTCTAGTTGAGTGTGTAATATGATGTTGTGTTTTTCCCCACGTGGGGAGATTTGAGTTTTGTTTTTGTTTTATTTTTCATTAAACTCTTCATTCCCTGCATTTGGGTCCTCGCCTCCTCTCCATCTACCCCCACATACCGTGACAGAACGGACCAGCCAGAATGAGGACCCAGCGGAGTGAAGATGGCTCCTTCGCCAGCCGCATTACTAAGTTGCTGCATTTGCAGTCACTGAAACAATGTGGCTTGAATTTGGAGGAGTTTGCGGAGAAATTCCGCAAGGCAGCTGAGGGGCTGAATTTTAATGACTGGCTGCTTATGACCCACCTAAATTTTGCTCTGGACAAGCCCCTTCTTCCTCTGCAAATCCAGAGAATGGTGGGCTGGTCATACCAGCAATTTATAGAGCACATGGTTCAGCAGCAGGAGAAAGGGATCCTTCAGGAGGAGAGGATCCTTCGCACCACCACCACCAGTGCCGCCTCCCAGCCCATGTCCAGCCCTCAAGGGCTGACCCGCACTCAGAAGCGGAGGTTAAAGAGGAAGACCTCTGCTGCAGTGTCGGCTCCAGCCCCAGAGCGCCCTCCAGTGTCGGCTCCAGCCCCAGAGCGCCCTCCAGTGTCGGCTCCAGCCCCAGAGCGCCCTCCAGTGTCGGCTCCAGCCCCTGAGCGCCCTCCAGTGTCGGCTCCAGCCCCTGAGCGCCCTCCAGTGTCGGCTCCAGCCCCTGAGCGCCCTCCAGTGTCGGCTCCAGCCCCTGAGCGCCCTCCAGTGTCGGCTCCAGCCCCTGAGCGCCCTCCAGTGTCGGCTCCAGCCCCTGAGCGCCCTCCAGTGTCGGCTCCAGCCCCTGAGCGCCCTCCAGTGTCGGCTCCAGCCCCTGAGCGCCCTCCAGTGTCGGCTCCAGCCCCTGAGCGCCCTCCAGTGTCGGCTCCAGCCCCTGAGCGCCCTCCAGTGTCGGCTCCAGCCCCTGAGCGCCCTCCAGTGTCGGCTCCAGCCCCTGAGCGCCCTCCAGTGTCGGCTCCAGCCCAGCTCCTTGCCCTGCCGGCGCCACCCAGACGTCTTGCCCTGCCGGCCCCAGCCCGGCTCCTTGCTCTGCCGGCATCAACCAGACGTCTAGCCCTGCCGGCACCAGCCCGGCTCCTTGCCCTGCCGGCGCCACCCAGACGTCTTGCCCTGCCGGCGCCACCCAGACGTCTTGCCCTGCCGGCGCCACCCAGACGTCTTGCCCTGCCGGCGCCACCCAGACGTCTTGCCCTGCCGGCGCCACCCAGACGTCTTGCCCTGCCGGCGCCACCCAGACGTCTTGCCCTGCCGGCGCCACCCAGACGTCTTGCCCAGCTGGCCCCAGCCCTGCTCCTTTCCCTGCCGGCTTCAGCCCGGCTCCTTTCCCTGCCGGCACCACCCAGACGTCAAGCCCTGCCGGCCCCAGCCCGGCTCCTTGCCCTGCCGGCGCCACCCAGATGCCTTGCCCAGCCGGCCCCAGCCCGGCTCCTTGCCCTGCCGGCGCCACCCAGACGTCTCGCCCTGCCGGCGCCACCCAGACGTCTCGCCCTGCCGGCGCCACTCAGACGTCTCGCCCAGCCGGTCCCAGCTCGGCACCCTGCCCTGCCGGCCCCACCCAGACGTCTCGTCCTGCCGGTCCCAGCCCGGCGCCTCGCCCTGCCGGCTCCCCTCTGGTCTCCCGCCCTGCCGGCTCCCCTCTGGTCTCCCGCCCTGCCGGCTCCCCTCTGGTCTCCCGCCCTGCCGGCTCCCCTCTGGTCTCCCGCCCTGCCGGCTCCCCTCTGGTCTCCTGCCCTGCCGGCTCCCCTCTGGTCTCCAGCCCTGCCGGTTCCCCTCTGGTCTCCAGCCCAGCCGGCTCCCCACAGGCCTCCAGCCCAGCCCGCTCCCCACCGACCTCCTGCCTTGTCTCCCCTGATAGACTCTCCCTGGGTCGTCCCTCCTGCTCCTCCCTGGTGTTCCCTCTCTGCACCCTGGACGGACCCTCCGGCTCCACCCTGGCTCCCTGCCGGGGCCCCCGACCCACTGAATCCACCCTGGACTGTCCCTCCTGATCCTCCCTGGTCTTGCCCTCCCATCCCTCCCTTGTTTGTCTTGTTGGGTCTGGCTTGGCTTCCCTCCCTCCCTCCCTTCATGTTGTCTTGCCTGTTCACCCCCCTGTCTTGTGTCTGTTGATGTTGCCTGTTTTGTTGTCTTCTAGTGTTTCTTGTCTGTCTTGTACCTTGTTGGATGTTCCCTTTAGGGACGCCAGGTGGCGTCCCTTTTGGGGGGGGCTAGTGTCAGGGTTCTGCCACTTTGGTCTTGTAAATTCTTGTTTTGGTGGCAGAGCTCTGACACTTCTCATGTCGGGTCCTGTTTCTGTCTCTGTGTGAGCGCGCGCCGTCGTGGGTGTACTTGGAGTGTGCGCGCTCCTGCTTGACGCGGCCGCGCGCGCGCTCTGCGTCACTCAGACGCGTGCGCTCTTGTACTCGTGTTTGTGTTTTCGTTTGTCAGCAGCGTGGTGTTTCATTCCCAGCGTCTCAGTCTTGTAGGTTTCGGTTTTGGTCGGCGCTGGGATGAAGCATGCACGCTGCGTGTGTGTGCGCACGGTGAGTGCTTTCATTCATCGTGTGCTCGTGTCTTGCGTCTTTTGTCAAAGCACGTGGCTCGGTGTTTACATTGTGGTCACGTGCTTTTGTCGTGTGCTTCAGTGTTGTGTTGTGTGAGCGCATGGCTTGTATTGTCTCTCTGTGTCATGCGCTCTCCCGTCTATTGTCTTGTCCCACCCACCTTGTTACCTTGTTTGTAATTATTATTTTCACCTGTCCGCCTGTCTGTTTATTGGTTTGTCTTTCCTATTTATTCTCCTAGTGTGCTCTGTTCCGTGCTGGTCCGTTATTGATTGTTCCCTTCCCTGTTGTATCTGCTGATCTATAGTCTACAACAGTGGTTTAAAGTATTGTCTTGTCAAGTTCCAGACCTTGTCTAGTTGAGTGTGTAATATGATGTTGTGTTTTTCCCCACGTGGGGAGATTTGAGTTTTGTTTTTGTTTTATTTTTCATTAAACTCTTCATTCCCTGCATTTGGGTCCTCGCCTCCTCTCCATCTACCCCCACATACCGTGACACCAGTATTATGATTGACTTCAGAGGGTTTCAAGTATTCATATAAGCAATTTAATAAACTAAATAGAGGAACATTAACATGCACTAAATGATGACATGTTTATTTTGTGTCAACAATTTAATTCCTTTTATAATTCTTTTGGAGTTGCAGTGTTTCAAATTGCACTGAGCGGCATAGAGGCTCAGTGGTTAGCACTGTTGCCTTACAACAAGAAGGTCGCTGGTTCATGTCCCAGCTGGGCCAGTTTGCATTTTCTGTGCGGAGTTTGCATGTTCTCCCCATGTTCATGTGGGTTTCCTCCGGGTGCTCCGGTTTCCCACAGTCCAAAGACATGTGTTATAAGTGAATTGGCAAAAAAAACTGGCTATAGTGTGAATGGGATAGTGTTTGGGTGTTTTCCAGTACCGTGTTGCAGCTAGAAGGGCATCTGCTGCGTAAAACATATGCTGGAGTAGTTGGCAGTACATTCCGCTGTGGCAACCCCTGATAAATACGGGACTAAGCTGAAAGGAAAATAAATGAAATTTCACTGCTACTTTAAACAGTGTACAAAGCTGTTGCTATAAAGATTTTTTTTATGTGTGTGATTGAATGTTCATGCAATATATACATTTTTTTTTAAACAGACTAAATCAGAGTGGAAACTTTTTGCAAGATTCAATAAATTCCGGATAAACTGGAGGTTTGGGAATCTTGTGTCTACCATCATACTCAAGTCCTGGCCAAAAGACGACAAAGGAACCTATTTTGAGGAAGAAGAAGCTGTTCTCAAACATCTTCTGGGCTGGGCAGCAGCTAAGAACATATTTCAGCTTCATGGTAATTATTTGATTTCCTCTGTATGGCACTGCTTTGTTAAATTTCACAACTGTCTTTATGTTTTAATGAGATGTTTTAATGAGTATCTTTTTCCTTGTTCTGTAGGTGCTGATGAAAAACTGATCGATCAGCTTTCTGATGAGGCTAAAGAGAAATTTGCCATGGCAACTTCATTATTCACAAATGTTTTAAATCAACTCGTAACAGGGAAAATAAAGATGAAGCTACTCAATCACATCCTGGAAAAGAAAAGCGTTTTCCTTGAGCTGCTTACTTTAGGTAAAATTAAATGCATGAAATTTGAATGCTTTTTACATTGGTTTTATAACATGAGGAGTCACTGATCTACTGTTATCCTAGACTGTTTTTCTGAAGAAGAACAATACAAGGACATAGATGCCATGAAGGCATTGATTCAGACCAGACAGGAAGAGGTGAAGGCTATTTATCATGAGCGTGCGCTTGCAGGAGCTCTGATTGCAATGTGTCACAATGTGGAGGAGCATGTGAAGGGTAAAGACTATTTATTGAACACCAGACAGTACTACATTGCTTTTTAAATCTGATTGGTAAGACTTTTTTAATAATACATTTGTTTTACAGTTGATTACAAATATTTGGAAGACTTGTATAGCAATGATATGAATGAGATGGATCTGGACCTGTTTATGGACGTTCATGAATTGAACCAAATTCCCACTGAAGCATCACTAGAAGTCCCCTACTTTGAACTTCAAGATGATGTTCGGTCTATGGCAGAGATCTTAAACATCTTTAAAGACAGCTATATTTTCAAATTGCGTTGGGGGAATGAGGCAGCATTGTTTGTAGAGCGTGCTGAAGATGAGGAATTGGACGAATTGGACGAATTGCCAATCACACTTGATGTTCTTAATGAAGAGATATTTTTACCATGTCATGCTGCATACAGAAACATATATACAAGTCTTAAAGATGGTAGCATTGACTTTGAAGACATCGATGAAATATTCAGAGCCTACAAGGGAAAGTATGAAAAACTGGCAGCAGAAGTTGCGATCATGAGCAAACAAGACTTCAATGATGACCAACACTGGGTCCAGACAAGAATCCAGCAGATCAAGCAGTACCATGAGCTTCATCTGGCTGTAGAGTCAGCAAAGGTGGTCATGATGGTCAAAGAGACCCTTTGCCTCCAAGGTGACTTTCAGGTGTTGGAGAAGTTGCTTATTACTGTAAGTTATTCATTTTTTGCTCTAAGGTTAACAATTGTTTAGGTTTTTACAAATTTTTTAAGTGAGTTTTTCTTTTCTACAGACACACTCGGATTTTAAAAGTGAGCGTTTAGACAGCATTGACAATGAGTTGATTCAGGCAAAAAATGTGCTTGTGGACATCACAGAGCCACGTAGACTGTGCCTTCAAGAACTTGGCCACAGAAAAAACTTCGTTATCTGGGTTAAAGAGGCACTCGAAGGTAAATAATTAGTGTTTCTTCCCTTGTAATTAAAATTAAATGCATTATTTGTAATGTTTTAGCACTTTTTTTCACTTCAGACATCAACGAGTTGAAGGTATTTGTGGATTTGGCCTCTATCTCTGCTGGAGAGAATGATTTAGATGTGGATCGTGTGGCCTGTTTTCATGATGCAGTTCTAGGCTATTCGTCAATGCTGTATGATTTAAAGCCAGATGCTGGCTTTAGTCTTTTTAATGAGATGCTGAAAAAATTATGGAAGGCACTTGACAACGACTCCAACCTTCCAAAGAAATTGGTAGGACTTTCTCCTAGCTTTGACAATTGAGAGAAAACAAGATTTTGTTGTGTTCATCTACATTTTTCTGTTTCAGTGTGACTCTGCAAGACACATAGAATGGTTGAAGACAGTCAAAGACAGCCATGGGTCAGTGGAACTGTCTTCTCTATCTCTGGCATCAGCTATCAACTCAAAGGGCATCTACGTTATCAATGCACAAAATCAGAAGAAGGTAAATAAAAATTTGCCAACATTGTGCTGGATGTTTTAAGGAAAACCCGTTTAAAGACTCATTTTGGAAAAATGCTAAATAGTTTCTAGTTATCACTGACTCGTTTAGGTCATTCACCAGCTGGAATACAATCTTGTTCATTCATCATTATGAAGCTGCAGGCCTAGAGACCCAACTGCAGGCTCAGACTAGCACTTCCAGACCTATTGTTAGTGTTAGGGTCACGTGTCCGATGTTGCTGCTTGCTAGAAAGTGCCAAGATGTCCTGGCTGCAGTCTGTAATCATGATGGTGTACTGGACCCGGTCCAATATGTAGTGGACATTGTCTGGCCCACTAAGGTAATGTCCTTACAAGTGTGATAGTTAGGTTTAGGGTAGGGGAAGGTGTAGGCGATCATCCATTATTCAGCGAGAACTGTTTCAAAAGTGGTGGTCTGAGCGTGCAGTTGGGTCTATTATTTTACGATCAACATCAGGTGGCACTGTCTGAGAAAACGATAAGTCTGAAAGTGCTGGTTTGAGCGTGCAGATCTGAGCATGCAGTTTGGTCTCCGAGCCTGCGGCTTCACCCTACTCTGCTTCATGGCCTTGCATGAAAATTGGGTTATTGTCTGGCCAGATTTGTATTGGCAATTGATAAGCTGAATTGATCTTCTTGATCAAGGTGTTTGCTTGAAAATCCAGGCCAATGAAAAGTAGTTTTGCTAGTCTACCAAATTCAATTAATATTTATTTCTATAGCGATTTTACAATGTAGACCAGTGGTCACCAAACTTGTTCCTGGAAGGCTGGTGTCCTGCAGATTTTAGCTCCAACCTTAAACACACCTGAACAAGCTAATCAAGGTCTTACTAGGTATACTTGAAACACCCAGGCAGGTGTGTGGAGGCAAGTTGGAGCTAAACCCAAGACCGAGATTGGTGACCCCTGATGTAGACTGTCAAAGCAGCTTAACATAGAAGAGTAAATTGAAACTGCTTCAGCCAAGTTTTGAGAGTTAAAGTTTAGTTTAGTTCAATTCAGAGTAATATACATATCCCTGCTGAAAGTCCAAACACTGAAGAGCAAATCCAACAATATGCAGCTCCACAAGTCCCAAACCAAGCAAACCAGTGGCGACAATGATGAGGAACAAACTTCACCAATTGACGAAAGCCAAATCATATAACTATTTGACAAACTTTAGGGAAACTGTTAGGTTTTCTGCCTAAAACAGAACAAAAATGTGCATTATCCCTGAATGTCCTAATCAATGCAGACAATTCTGAACAATAAACACCTGAACAATCAACACCTTAATATTATTTTTTTTGCAGTTGGCCTTGGAAAACATTCTGAAGCTACATATTATGGAAGAGCATGATGGTGGCTGTGAGACACGCGTTTATTCTCTTGAAGACCTCAGGGATCTTCAGAATAAATTGATGCTAATGTCTGGCAAAGGAGAACAGGGCCAGTGTGAAGTCGATCAATTTGCAGAGGTGTCTTTTCACTTTTTAGTTGTTTTAATTTTTTATTTCATCATGGCCCCTAATTAGTCTCGAGTAAACGTGTTTCTTGCTTCCAGGTTTTTGCCAGTGTACAAAGGTTGGTCTCCGCATTTATTGATTTGTATGTTGCTGGAAATCCATTGTTCAGACACTGGGAGGCAAACATCAACTGTAATAGTAAAGAAGCGTGCATCATCATAGACTTCAACTTAGGGAGTGTTGTCAGCGTTGTCATGGTTGAAGGTGATGTCACAGAACAGCTGCCAGAAGTCTGTAAGAAAATGGAGAGCTGCCTACGCTTCTGGCAAGATTTTATGGACAAGCAAAGATCCCAGCACTATTACTTAAACTACTACACTGCAGAACAGCTGGTCTACCTGTGCCATCAGCTTGCTCACAATAACATGGAGGAAATAGACGATCAAGTTCTGATGATGCTCTCCTTTATCAAGCCTAGTTGCTCCACTTCCGATTTGAGAAAAGCTTGGCACATTCTTCAGTATGATCTAATTAGGAAAGGTCCTGACCAAAATGATGACCTAGACTTTCAAACTTTTGTGGAAGTCTCCAGTATGACTGAAAATGAAAGTACTGAGAAGTCATGTCCAACATCTGATGATTTAATTCAACAGTTGGGGGATGCTAGTGGATCCACAAAACTAGGTGTGATTTGGAACAATTACATGCGAGACATGAAGGCATTTCTGCCAGACTCCCTTGATGTCCCAAGTCTTGGATATCTCCTTGAAATTTTGGCCAATAGCCACAGAGAAGATGAGGGTGATATGTCACAGCGTGACAAAACAAGGACCATTCTGAGAGAACTTCCAAATGGAATTGCTTCTGGGAGACCAAACCTAATTATCTGCCCTTCTGAAGAAATTTTGATTTCATGCATCTCAATTTACATGAACAGCAAGAATGAGCCTCTACCAACCTATGACGAAGTACTCCTCTGTAGTGCTACCACTCCATATGAAGAAGTGGAACTTTTCCTCAGGCGCTGCCTCTCTGCTGGGTATAGGGGGAAGAAGATTTATACAATGCTCTATGTGAACCAACTCAACTATGAAGTGAGCTACAAAGTGGAGAAATTCTTTCAGAATCAAAATGCACACACTACAAACGATTACCGGCTTGTGCTGATCTGCGAATCGAACAAAGAACATGCATATCTTCCTTCAGCATTTAGCCAGTTTAGATTGCACTTGATTCCACAGCAACCAATTCCCAGTATTCAGCAATACCTTCATAGGCATTTTGCAGTTCCAGTGGGCATATCCAGTGCTGCTGCAGTCTTCAAGGACAGGCAGAATGTGGGGGTTGTGTCCTCTGAAAGATCAGGAGTTGGTGAGTATACCTTGAAGTTGTTGATCTTAATTGGTTAGTCTCCAGAATTTGGGCATAAATGTGGCTTAAAAACATTGGCTTGTTGTTTGTTAGGTTGATAAGTGTAAACAGTTCTCCAAGTAATGTAAGATGCTGTAATTCACTTGTGTGGCACATTTTAGGAAAGTCGCTTTACATTAAACGACTGTACGAGAAATTGAAGTTGAACTCCAAGAAGCCTTCACAGCTAAAATGCATCAGGTTAACTGAGCCGAAAGTTGATGAAAATGTCATCATTCAGTCCTTGATCAGCGTCCTCAAGAAAAATGATCTTTCGGTCTATCATTTTGATGTCACCACCATGGTAGTTTTTATTATTTTACTTTTTATTTGTTTTAATTAAATGTGCCTCTTTAAGGAAGTCTTGTCGCTGTTTTTCAGTATAATTCATATACTTGCAGGTGAAGAAAGGACTTCATGAATTTCTGTTCAGGCTGTTGATCCTTGGATATCTTATGGACTCAAAAGGAAACATGTGGAAAAGCAGCAACAAACACTTGTATGTCATTGAGATACTAAGACCTGGCTTATCCCAAAATGATCGAAGAGCTGTAAGTAAACTGCTTAAATGGCTTAGGAATTGTCATTATTTTGTGGAAGCCCCAATGCTGTTTTCACACCAGAAGCGGCATGCGCGGATAAAGTATATAGCGCTGTTTGCACGTAAATAGACGCTTGAACATTTTGAGTTTACCCGCTTTATCCGCTTCACAGTAGATGCAGAATTGCATCATTGGCAGGGCGTCTATCTGCCTGGTGACTGTAGCTTTGTTGCTAAATGGCTAACATGGATTTTATTGAGGGAATAACTGTGTTTATGTGCTTTAAGAAGGCTGAAAAACAGTGTAGATCCATTTGGAGTCATGTCCACTAGACATATCCAGAAAGGGCACCCAGCTCTGTGAGTTCATAAACTCCTCCTGAAACTTAACATGGATGACGGAAGCTTTTAGCGATGGTTCCAACTAAGCCGAGCCCAGTTTGATCCACTGATGTTGGTGTCGGCAAGAGGATTTCACCCCAGGACACAAAAAACAAAGCTTTGTTATAAGCCAACCCCTACAAGAGAAAGATCCTGATTAGTTAATGCGGCGTGAATGTTTTTCCAATTCAAGTAATAAGCACGTAACGTGTGTCAATCGCTCAAAACGCGCAACTCGCACCACCTTATTCGTACGTATCGTGCCGCAGTATGTCTTTTTGCGCCTTTGCATTGACTTAACATGTAAATCACTTGCGCTTGACCCTTCTTCCACGTCTGGTGTGAACGCAGCACGAGAGGCCATGCACAATTACTGTTTTTTACTTTCTGTTTACATACTGTTCTTGAAATCTTTTTTCTTGTTATCACTTTGTAATTATTTTGCTATCTTTATATGGTAAAAGTTGTTTTTACATCCTCTTCAGATGACAATGTTTCTGTGATCTCAACGCGAGAATATAATTTTGGACTATACTCAACACATAGTTTTAATTGTTTTGGAAATGGCTTATAAATATAAATACTACATGCTCAATTAGTTATATTAAAAAGACCAAATTCGGTGTCTTTCAAGATTGATTTTCATTTATGCATTTAGCAGATGCTTTTATCCAAAGAAACGTAACTCCCGTAAACACACCGGAAGCAGTGGATTGGCTGGGGAGCATTTGGGGGTTTAATGCCTTGCTCAAGGGAATCACTTAAGCCATGGTATTGAGGTGGATAATTTTTTAGCTTTCCCCACCAACAATCCCTGCTGGTGCCGGGACTCAAACCTGTGACCTTTGGATACCAAGTCCAACCTTTTCACCATAATGTAATTCCGAAAGCAAATATAAATGAATAAATAATAATGTAGATAATGTAAATAATAATACATGTTAGTGTAGATGAACATGCTCTATCATGCAGCTTTTAATCAAACAGTAAACCTCATCCAGATATGTTTCAATAATTATGGTGTAGCTGACTTGCACATAGAACATAAAAAAAATGTGTTGAGTAAAGTCCTTGAAATTGTCAATTATTTTGGTTAAATTGGTACCACAAACAAAAATACACTTTTGTTCTATCAGTATTGCAAGAAAATTAAGCCCTGAGCACAAGAAAATCACTTTTCCAGAAATTAAATCAAGATCTTGAGAAAACAGCTTATCTTGTCCACATCACTACAAAACAACGAAAAAAAGAAATAATGCTTAAGACTATCACATTAATCATTAAAATGCCTCACAATTTATAAATATGTTTTCTCTTGTTAGGGCGCAAAAGTTTCCTTTAATTTCTTGGATGTGTTTCCAATTGTCTACTGCCGCTCACCTAAAGAGGTCCTTGAATTAGAAATGAGAATGGAGGAACATCCATCATTTGGACTATCTGATGATCCCCTTATGGATGACCAAGAGTTCCGAAGTGAGGCCTATCAACGGCCTTATCAGTACCTGCAACGTTTCTACAATGGCATCAATTTGGATGAATTTCTGTATCAAGGAGTTGAGGGAAGTCATGTTGAATGCCTGCAGATGTTGTTTGAGTACTGTGGCATAATAGACCCCTCTTGGGCAGAATTGCGGAATTTTGCTTGGTTCCTAAACTTACAGCTTCAGGATTGTGAGAAATCAGTTTTCTGTGATTTTTCCTTCGTAGGGGACACTCTGTTGGGATTCAAAAATTTTGTTGTTGAATTCATGATTCTCATGGCAAAAGATTTTGCAACTCCTTCACTTAGCATTTCTGACCAGAGTCCCGGCAGGCTGCATGAAGATTTTTCCTCGGCCAATGAAGAGGATCTTGCTCCCTTTAAGATAAGAAAAAGATGGGAGTCAGAACCACATCCGTACATATTCTTCAATGATGACCATGATTCCATGACATTCATTGGCTTTCATCTTCAGCCAAATGCCCAGAAAGGGGTTGATGCAGTTGATCCATCCAACAACAGAGTGATCAAGCAAAACATCATGACCATGGAGCTCTATGAGGGCCTTAAACTACAGAGAGTTCCCTTCAATATTGACTTTGACCAGCTCCCAAGATGGGAAAAAATTGAGAGACTTTCCAGGGTGTTGGGAATACAATGGCCTCTTGACCCAGATGAGACATATGAGCTCACCACAGACAACATGTTGAAAATGTTGGCAGTTCACATGCGATTCCGCTGTGGGATTCCTGTAATAATCATGGGTGAGACAGGATGTGGGAAGACAAGGCTAATCAAATTCCTCTGTGAGATGCACCGAAGTGGAGTTGCCACTGACAACATGAAACTAGTCAAGGTTCATGGAGGAACAAGCTCGGAAATGATTTACACCAAAGTGAGAGAAGCAGAGGCCATGGCGTTAAGAAACAAGCTAGATTATGGGTTTGACACTGTGTTGTTTTTTGATGAAGCCAACACAACTGAAGCTATTAGCAGCATTAAAGAAATCCTCTGCGACAACTCTGCTGAGGGACAAAATTTGACAGAGAACACAGGCTTGAAAATTATTGCTGCTTGCAATCCCTACAGAAAACACACCGATGTTATGATTAAGAGATTGGAGTCAGCAGGATTGGGATACAGAGTTCGTGCTGAGGAAACTGATGAAAAACTTGGATCCATTCCACTTCGCCAGCTAGTGTACAGGGTGCAGGCCTTACCACCTAGCATGATTCCACTGATTTGGGACTTTGGACAGCTCAATGACCATACTGAGAAAATGTACATCAAACAAATAGTAGAAAGAGTAGCTGAAACCCATTCTATTGATTCAGGCTACATCACAGTGATTACAGATGTTTTGTCAGCTTCACAGAAGTATATGCGAACAAGACAGGATGAATGCAGTTTTGTGAGTCTGAGGGATGTTGAGCGCTGCATGCAAGTTTTTGGCTGGTTCTACAAAAAACACTTAATGTTACTCTCAGAGCTTGACAAGTTTGAGAGTATTCAGAGGACCGAGAAAACCGATCAACATCCGAAAGATACTGATGAAAGAAATCCAATTCTTTGGTCATTACTAATGGCAGTTGGTGTATGTTACCATGCCTGCTTGGAGGACAAAGAGAAATACAGAAAAAAAATTTGCAAGTACTTTCCAGCAGCCTACAGCCCAATGAAGGTGATGCAGGAAATCTCAGTTATTCAGGATATTTTTCTGGAAGGTGTTCCAATGGGTGAAAACATTGCCCGAAACAATGCCTTGAAGGAAAATGTCTTCATGATGGTAATTTGCATCGAACTACGAATTCCTCTGTTTTTGGTTGGAAAACCCGGAAGCTCCAAGTCCTTGTCAAAAACTCTGGTTGCAGATGGCATGCAAGGCCAAGCAGCTCATTCTGATCTGTTTAGAAAACTAAAGCAGATTCATCTGGTTTCTTTCCAGTGTAGTCCTCATTCTACACCAGAAGGGATCATTAATACCTTCAAGCAATGTGCCCGTTTTCAGGAAGGCAAGAATCTATCAGAGTATGTCTCTGTAGTAGTGCTAGATGAGATAGGCTTGGCTGAAGATTCCCAAAAAATGCCTCTGAAAACTCTGCATCCTTTGCTCGAAGAGGGATGCATAGATGATCAGCCATCACCACACAAGAAGGTAGGATTCATTGGCATCTCAAACTGGGCTTTGGACCCAGCCAAGATGAACAGAGGGATATTTGTTTCACGGGGTGATCCTGATGAAAATGAGTTGATTGAGAGCGCAAAAGGAATATGCTCCTCGGATGTCATGATTCTTGAGAAAGTGAGAGAGTGCTTTAAGCCATTTGCCCATGCTTACCTGCGCATCTGTAAGAAACAGGAAAAAGGTTTCTTTGGTCTGCGAGACTATTACAGCTTGATAAAGATGATGTTTGCTGTTGCTAAAGCTTGTGATCAAAAGCCTAGTGCAGAACAGATTGTGAAGGCAGTGCTGAGAAACTTCAGTGGCAAGGACGATGTGGATGCTGTCACATTTTTCACCAGCAGACTAAATATCAAACCGGAGCTTGAGACTATCAGTGCCATTGAGCTTGTAAGAGAGAATGTTACAGCCATTGGACAAGATGAGGAATGCAGATACCTTCTGGTTCTGACCAAAAACTATGCAGCCCTTCGAATTCTTCAACAAACATTTTTTTCGGATCAGTGCCAACCGGAAATTATCTTCGGCTCAAGCTTTCCAAAGGACCAGGAGTATACTCAGATATGCCGCAACATCAACCGTGTCAAAATTTGCATGGAAACTGGTCAAACAATTGTGCTTCTGAACTTGCAGAATTTGTACGAAAGCTTGTATGATGCTCTCAACCAATACTACGTTACCCTTGGAGGCCAGAAATATGTGGATTTGGGGCTTGGAACCCACAGAGTCAAATGCAGAGTGCACAAAGATTTCCGGCTAATTGTCATTGAGGAGAAAGACATTGTGTACAAGCAGTTTCCCATTCCACTGATCAACAGGTTGGAGAAACATTATCTTGACCTTAATACCTTACTGAAAAGTGAGCAAAAGGACATTGTTAAGAACCTTGAGCAGTGGGTTCAGTGCTTCACTGATGTTAAAAACAAGCATTCTGTTGCTCCCAGTGCACGCCGTTACAGTCCAGCTGATGCTTTCATTGGTTACCACACGGACACTTGTGCATCGGTAGTAATGCAAGTTACAGAGCAGCTCAAAGGGCAGGAGCTCTCAGATCCTAGAAAAGGGATCTTAGATGAGTCTAAATTGATCCTTCTGAACTGTGCAACACCAGATGCTGTGGTTCGGCTAGACTGCACTTCCCTTTTCAATGTAGAAAGTGAGCACTTGTCAAGGGTATACTTTGAGGACCAGATGCATAATTCCCTTGCTGAATTCATCCTATCTCACATACAGCAAGAAGGTTGTAGTGGTGCCTTTTTCACAGAGGTAAAGTCATTTTTTTAATACTTACCTTTTTACTCTAGAGTTCTGGTTCTCATTTAGGGGTCTGGGAGCCACTAAGGCACCTCAGCATACTACCCAGGACATTTGGAACTTGAAATTACTGGAGTTACATTGAATAATGGAATTAGTACATATTAATTATATTAATTCAATATCTGAATAATATAATTGTTTTGCTTAGTTACTTGCCACTTGTGTTTAAGTAGATGGTGCATAAGCACTGGGGGTGTGTTCGAATCCACTTTTGTTATAATAAGAATGGGAAAAACTGTCTGTGCCAGGTGTATGGTCTAAAAGGTTTGTCCTTATTCTTTTGGGGTGTTGTGGGTGTGTTTTGGGCAAAATGTGCATTAAACCAATCAGAGTCTATTGTACACGGTGGACTTTAACACAATCTCACGACAATTCGTAACTTTTTGATCTAGTGGCTAATTGGTATTAATTCGAGCAATCTAATTTGTACAATTTAGTACGATTTGCTCATCACCCAATCACAGCTGGGGTTAGGGGTGGGGTTGGGTGCTAAATTCGTACAAAATAGCCACTAAACTGACAAAACGTAAATTAGTTGAGTTTCCCCGTGAGATTAGGCTGGACTGACGCACTCTACCGAGGATATCCATTACATATTTAATTTCATAATTTGTTAAGCGCAAAGATTTATTTCAAAACTATCTCTAAATTTATTTCTAAATTCCAGCAAACAAGAAAATGAAAATGAACAATAACAACAAAGTGCGGTAAAAAAAAAAAAAAAACTAAAACATTGTAAGGTCTATAAAACCAAATAAAAGTTATATTATATTTAAACACACTTTCAATAATAGGCATAGCCCATTTGGTGTTGCATACATCTCTTAAACTTGACAGCTATGTATGACAACATGAAAGTTTATGCATATATATATATATATATATATATATATATATATATATATATATATATATATATATATATATATATATATATATATATATATTTATTTATTTATTTATTTATATATATAAATACTAATTTTAAATTGCAAATAAAAACACTGCTCCATTGTCTTTAGACCAGCTTTTATTTGTTCAGTGGCGTGGTATATTTCAGTTTGCACAAAATAGCAATGCACCAATAATGCGCTGTAACACACCTCCTTTCAGACCAGCACACCCATGGGTGCAGAAATGGGTGCAAATGCAATTGCTTCACAGTTTCAAAACATTAAAATGATACCTGTATCTAGCTCAATCTAGCAATAAACAAAACAAAACACATGCGTTGTGCATGGCGCCATATTGCGCCAGTTGAATGATAGGCCCCTAGATGTTTTAGAACCATTTCTCTAGATCAGTTAGAACATTTCAGTCTTATCAAGTAACAACTTGTGCCCCACAATTCAAATTATAACTTTTATCCATTAGGTGACTACATTCTCCAGGCTTCTGACTGCTTCAGAAACTCAACAGCTACAGAATGTAGTTCAAAACATAGAGCTTCTCTCACTACAGCAGTTTGACACGGAACAATCATTCCTCAAGAAAATCAAGTATTGTTTTTATATTCATCATCATTCAATCATTACATCTTATTACCACGATGAAAACGCAATTTAATCACTCCTAGTTAGATTAATTAAAACCTGTTTTCTGTTTTAAGAAATTATTTGGAAAACACCACCGGGGACAAGATACTTCTCATCCAAACTGATTTTGATGAAGGCTTCCAAAAACTAAACGTCATTGCATCTGCAAAGTAAGTTGAATGTGGTTGATGGAACATTTTTTGTTGTTCAGTAACTGTTAAAGCGCCATGATTTTAATGTGAAATATTTCTTTAGGTATTCTTCCATAAATGAAATCAACAAATTCAAGAAAGAGGGCAGCGGAAAGATTTTTGTGTACTTCATCACTAAACTACCCAGAATGGATGGTGGAACGTCCTACATTGGATTTAATGGTGGTAAGTCGAGATGAACTGTATCATCCTCTTACAATCGGTGTTTTTTGAGGAAATCTCACTGAATGTTCTTTAACAAAGGCCCATGGAAGTCGATCCATATTGATGACCTCAGAAGACCCAAAGATATTGTCTCGGATATAAAAGCCCTGCAGGGTCTGACCATCAGCCAGCTGTTTGAAGAGAAAGCAGAGAAAGTAGATGAAACAGAAGGTCAGTTGATTCAAAAATATTGAAAATTTAAGGTGTAATCAGCATTCAGTAAGGATAACAATGTTTACCTGTGAATGTGCCAAATATCAAGATACACTATATCAAATCAAATCAGGCCTTTATTTGTCACATACACTTTCGTATAGTGAAATGGAACCTCCCCGACCATACACAAACATCACAATTTTGGGGGAGACAGGTCACAGGAGGTAGCGTTCAGAAACAATAAGCAACACTACTTGCTTAGTGAATAAGCAACACTTCTTGCTTATTCAACATTAAATACCTCTTTGGCACAATATCTTGCACAATATTGTTCTGTCTTGTGTAAAAGTACTTGGATTGTTTGTCTTACCGTACGTTCACACCGAAAGCGGCGAGAGCGTCAAAATAGCCGGAAGTCATTCATTTTCAATGAGAGCCGGCGGCGAGGAGCAGCGCGGCGCGTCTTCGCCGGCGTGAGCGTCGAGGAGAGTTGAAATGAAGTCAACTTTATGGTAATGAGCTATGACGCGGTTCGGCGGCAAGCAGTCAGAATGAAGACGTCCATCGATTGATAGCAGTTCAGAGAACACAGACCTGTGAACTTTGGTTCCGACCACAGTTGTTCCCAAGGGTTTGATTATTGCGGTCGCCGGATTTCCAATTATTTACAATTTTTTCCTACAGGAACATACATTAAATAAGTTATTGACGAGTTACTGATGTGCATCAATGTTATATAAATTTATCTTAAAAAAGCGGGAATCTCACGCGATGTGACAGTACAGAACAGTACTGCTGCTTCAGGATATTTCAGACATATGGACACATATTGGATAAATAGAGCAAAGCCACACCACACGCAACTTGATCTTCCATTGTTGTATGAATTTGATAAGAAGTGTGCAACATTTTCACGCTAGAAACATGTTTTATGCAGGAATGTAACTGATATGCTGCAACGGCTCCTTTAAATACTAGATCAATGTAGCGAGTTTTGACGCTCTCGCCGCAGGAGCTGAAGGCAGAGAGCGTTGTCGCCAGGGCGGCCAGAGCGACCTTGGACGCTCTCGCCGCTTTCGGTGTGAACGTACGGTTAGGCTATGTGTATAGTGTAATGGAAATTCATTTTTAGATGAACATGTGTAGTGGAAACTTGTTTACTACTCATTTTTAGACTTGTGGGTCCAATGGAAAAGTCACTTGTATTTATGTTCACAATAAAGACTATGTGTACATTTTCTTTATACAGCCACTTTCCTGTACGTGCTTATCTGGTCCTTGTCTCCATCCTAAGGATTCTCCCTAAAAGGCTATGTGATGTTTAACTCTAAGGATTCACATTAATGAGATTTATGGTTGCTCAGGAAAGATGTATTGTTGTTAGGACATATAGCAGAAACAGCGGAAACGCCTGACGCATGTACAGAAAGGGCCTTATTAAGATTTGACCTCGTAACAAACCAGATAAAAGGGTGAACATGAATAACAACTTGACCTCTAGTTGATCATTTGAAAAAGTGGCAGAAGGTCGATTTTTCAGATGAATCATCTGTTAAACTGCATCCCAATCATCACAAATGCTGCAGAAGACCTTTTAGAACCCACATGGACCCGTGGTTTTCTCAAAAATCAGTCAAGTTTGGTGAATTAAAAATCATGGTTGGGGTTACATTCAGTGTGGGGGCGGTGTGATAGATCTGCAGAGTGGATGGCAACATCAACAGCCTGAGGTATCAAACATTTGTGCTGCCCGTTACATTACAAACCACAGGAGAGGGCAAATTCTCCAGCAGGATAGTGCTCATCTAATACTTCAGCCTCCACATCAAAGTTCCTGAAAGCAAAGGAAGTCAAGCTGCTCCAGGATTGGCCAGCCCAATCACCAGATATGAACATTATTGAGATGGAGAAGGCATTGAAGATGAATCCAAAGGATCTTGATGAACTCTGGGGGTCCTGCAAGAACGCTTTCTTCGCCATTCCAGATGACTTTATTAATAAGTTATTTGAGTCATTGCAGAGATGTATGGATGTAGACCTCCAAGCTCATGGAAGGCATAAACAATATTAATTCTTTTTCCAAGAATTAAGCAAAGTCAGACCTTACTGTCCTAATTAAATAATTAAACATTAAAGCATGATCAAAGTTAAGTTATTATTTAAAGTTATTATTAAAAGTCAGAAATGAAATACAAAGTTTACAAACACATAACACTTGTGGGCTGATTCAGGATTTCTGAGTCCATTTCAGTGCCGGAAGCCTTGTGTGTGTGTGTGTGTGTTTCTCAGGAGGAAGGGGGGCAAAGGAATTCAATTGAAGCTTAGGGCAACCATCTCTGGCTTACCTCTAGCCATGGATGACCCGGGCTCAAACAAACCGTGTCATCGTCTGGGTGAACAGACACGATACAAAGAAGAACAAAATCTGCCGCGTCCTGTTGCTGTTTTACAAGACTGTCTGTGCGAGCGGTATGCGCTTTCTTCCGGGAGCGCGTGATCGCATCTATATTTGATATAATAAACTTTTTGAGCTGATGATAATAACGTGTAACGTTACGTGATTATTGAAGTGTCTCCATCATCTCATCCATTCAGAAAGAAAAGGACAAGCGCGAGAGTAAAGCGCGGAATAAAGGAGAAACCCGGCAAAACACAGGAGCAAAAGTGTTTAACAACCTGAATCATGAACAAACTGCCATGTTTATCTTAGCCTTTTGGACTATTATGAACTGGGAATAAAAAAATTATTCTCTAACAGAGTTTACATGTGCTGCTGAAGATTACAGACACAGATGAGAGGTTTGCGCTGACTGTGGGCTATATTGCGTGTGTTTTTGAACTCAAATAAGTACTAAATGTATGATGTTTGTAGTTTTTCTGTAATTAATAATATATCGGAGACTGTTAAGGGCTGCATGTGTTCATATATGTTGTATTTATATATTTATTTAATATAATTGCAGACGTTACAGTAGCCTATTTCACACTGTCATTGATCTGCAGTTATAATCAACTCCTGTTCATAGAAAAGTTAGTAATAAACATTTATACACAATTATTTATGTGTATAAAGCATCTGTTTTGTGAGAAGTGCTTCTCTTATGATATGTAAACGACCCATACAACTTTACTGTAGACATTTATTCGAGCGACCATGACGTCGACTTAAACTTTGTCGTACACCACGCCCACCAAAAAAGTACCCTTTGTGGTGGAAACGCAAGCCTGATAAAGGTGACCCGTACCGACCCGAACCGTACCGTACTGTACCAGTCAGTGGAAACGAGCCATTAGTGAGGTGTCACAGAGGCACAGACTTTGTGGCACCAGGGGTCATAAACACTTGCAGGGAAGAAGACCCAGACCCCTTTTTAAAATCAATACGTAATTTTATCTCCGGACCGTAGGTTACATGTTTATGTAGCACCATAATCCTGCAAGAAACGACATTACATTGTACTTTATGTCCAAAAATGTGGCAGAATGACATTAAAGCTCAACTTGACTTAACTTGAATTGAACATTCGCAAGAAATCAAAGTGTTTTTTTTTATTATTATTACTGTACTTGCAGCCATGGAAGTTGAAGACATGTATGCAGGAGGAGAAGATGAAGAAGACGAAGAGAAAATGGAGCTAGAAGAAAATAACGTGAGTCAAATCCTCGATATATTTGTAGTATGTTTCTTACAATGTAAAGTACAGTAAATTTATTTGCATTGCTTGCGCTCTTTAGGGCTGTAAGGATGTTCTGGACACCACAGCACTGGTGCGGAGCTGTGTTCAGAGTGCTGTTGGCATGTTAAGAGATCAAACTGAGGGAGGCATGCGCAGCACCAAGAGAGTAGAGATTCTGCTAATGCTTTTGGCTGAAGACCAGACTCTACAAGGTGAGAGGCGTCACTGTTTCTATTGTTGATTTTGTTTTTGCAGGTCTTATAAGAGATCGCTGATGTTTAAATGTTTATGTTACCAGCTGAATTTCTGAAAACTTTAAAGACCCGACTTCATTCACTATTGGTTGCTCACGATGACAACACTATCTCTGCCAAGAGCTGGGTCTCCAGAGAAGCACTGAATGTGGATGCATTGCATGAGGGTGGGACTTTTAGGTAAGTTTGGTTTCAGATTCTGACATGAAATCTTATTTATTCTACAAAGTATTTCTTCTTTATGTGAAAATCTGTACTGTATACAGGGTTCCCACACTTCTTGAAAGTACTTGAATTTCAGACTTATGAATTCAAGGCCTGGAAAGTACTTAAAAAATAGGTCCTTGAAAGTGCTTGAAACTAAAGTGCATGGTGTTATTTCAACAATTGTACTGTGCTGTTTTCAAAAACTGAATGAAAAATTGAACATTTAAGTCGTATACATTAAAAGGGCTTTACATTAACACCTGCCAAATGCGGGTAGATTTCAGCTCTGACGGGTTAGACATACACCTCCACTAGCCACTTTGGCTGGTTGGAAATCATTTTTAAATTGTAGTTCTCTTAAAAGCAGGGTTCGACAATAAGCATGGCCCAATATTAGTGCAAAATGTGATCTTAGAATTGAGAAGCAGCAAAACTGACAAAAAGAAAGCCGAGCAAAAGAAAGAAGGTACTGAACGAGAGGATGTGATGCCTGCGAATGTTAAAAAGCTACCGTTTACTGAATTGTATTTTTAACAATAATAGGGCTTTAATGGGAGATTACTCCCCGTTTATGTGTAGTTAACTGCTGATCTGGGACTTTTAGCCAGGACAGATTGCTGTGCATATTTTAGATACATGACAATACTTTTTTTATTTTAATGTTTTTTTTTTTAAAGAAAAGTTTTGTTAAATTAAAAAGTGCACCTATAAAGCTGAATTTTCTTTTTTTGACACATACAAAAATGTGGCTAAGAAATACTTATTTGGTGTGGTCAGAGATAAATTTGGTAAATCCTTAATGTTGAGCCCTGAAAAGTCCTGTATAATATAAACCGATTGCATTGCGACAACCCATTTGCTCATGCACACTGAGCAAACTAATACACAATACACACAAAAAGTGAAATGAATAAGAAGACATGTGGACATAAGAAAACATCTAAATCAAGTCATTTTAGCATGTTAAATTAATGCATATAAAATATGTTTTCTACGTCTAACAAGAAAAGTGTGGCTAGTGTAAATGGTGAGTGGCTAGTAATGTTGGATCTACTATAATGAATCTACTAAGTATGTACTAAGTAATGAATCTACTAGCCACAGTGGCTGGTGATTAAAAAGTTAATGTCAAGCCTTGTACATAAACAATTATTATTATTATTATATATTATCTTATATATATATATATATTATATTATCTTATATATATATATATATATATATATTATATTATATTATATTATATTATATTATATTATTATATTATTATTATATATTGTCAAATAATGCATTTTATCAATAGAAACTGAATTTGAATATTAGCAGTATTGAATTTAATTAATTGTATTAAATTTCTTTGAACATGGCTTTATAATGGTTGTTCAAAATGATCAACATTTTTGAAAATGACACATTGAAAATATCATCGTTATGACATTTTATTGTAAATAGCTCTCTGTAACTCTCACATGGTCGCCCACTGAAGCTAAGCAGGGCTGCGCCCGGTCAGTACCTGGAAGGGAGGCCACATGGGAAAGCTAGGTTGCTGCCGGAAGTAGTGTTAGTGAGACCAGCAGGGGGGCGCTCAACCTGCGGTCTGTGTTGGTCCTAACGCCCCAGTATAGTGAAGGGGACTCTATGCTGCTCAGTGGTTGCCTTCTTTTGGATGAAATGTTAAACAGAGGTCCTGACTCTGTAGTTGTTAAATATCCCATGATGTCCTTCGAAGAAGAGTAGGGGTTTTACCCCGGCATCCTGGCCAAATGGGCTCTATGGCTTCTGTCCATCATGGCTTCCGAACCATTCTTATTGGCATCATAATTGGCTTCATCACTCTGTACCCTCTCCACCAATCAGATGGTGTGCAGTCTGGTGCAATATGGCTGCCGTCACATCTGCTGCACGCTGGTGGTAGATGAGATTTCCCCTAAAAATGTGTAAAGCGCTTTGAGTGTCCAGAAAAGCAATATATAAAATGTAAGGACTTATTATTATTATTATTATTATTATTATTATTATTATTATTATTATTATTATTATTATTATTTTTATATTAAGTGTAAGTGAAATGTTAAGGAGTTTCATGGCGCTATATATGCTGGAGGTTTAAATTGCAAAGGTGCTCGATTTTAAATATTTACGATTTAAAAAGTTTTTGTATTTGGTGTCTATGAAAGAGTGGGAACCCTGTGTATAGCTAAAATAACTTTACATACAATATTTGTTCGCTTTTGGTTTTTAGGCATGCCTTGTGGAGGCGAGTTCAAGCTGTAGTCACTCCCTTTTTGGCACAACTTGTATCAGTTGTCGACCGTGACTGCAATCTAGACCTCTTGCTGGATAGAAATTCTGGAGAACCCTTGAAGAAACTGTGGCTGGAAATTTTTAGAGATGACAAGTTCCTGAGTGTGTCGCCTTACACAAGGACGGAAAACAAGTATGTGATTACTCCAAAGCGACTTTGAAACGATAATTAAAGGCTGATTTATACTTCTGCTTCGAGTGATCACCATAACCCACAACGCATTCTGTTTGTGTTGCTCTGCAATAGCACTTTCGAAACACTAGCCGGCAGCAGTATTTTTATGTTCCTCTTTGTCGAGTTTCTTTATGACGCCTGTTTCACACCGCAAGCGTCAGCGGCGCATGAGCAGAGCGTGAGCAGCGCGTGTGTTTTCGGCGTCCATGTTAACAGATGAGAGCTTTCATACCGCACGCAGCAGCAGCGCGTCAGTGCGAGGCGTGAGCGTCGCCGAAGCAGCAGTGCAGCGATAGTTTCGGCGCTGGGTCTATTTTTGACGCGCTGCTCACGCTCAATTAAAGTGACAGTGCATTGATCATGACCAAAACACATTGAATGACAGTAAAAAGTAGCAATTTTACCCAATAAATACGTTGATAACGTCAAATGGTTTATATATAGTCATTCAAATGAACTTAAAACGATTAAAAACGGCAACAAACATTTATTTAGGCCCGAACTACAAAACCAAATGTAAAACAATTTTAGTATCAGTTTTGCTTAAGTTGCACACTAGTGTTGTAGGAGAGGGAAAATAGAATATTTACGGGATTTGTAGTCCATAGAGAAGTGTATTGTGGGTAGTGTAGTTCGACACGCATGCTGGATTATGTGAGCTCGCTGTGTTCTGTGCAGCTGAGCAGAGGAAGAAAGTTTTAATCGGCTTTGTTTTATGTTCACTCGAGTTATTCCTACCGGGAGTGCACTGTTTGCACTGTGAATCTGACAACACGAAAATAAGTAAAAGAATGGCATGCATTGGTAACTTTTGTCCGTCTCATCCTCTGCACGAGCATGAATTAACAAGCTTTTATTCTGCCGCAGGACATCACTGAAGCGGAGAAAGTAAGACTAGTTTGATCATGTATAAATATCATTATAACTATATTGTATAAATATGATTATAACTATGTCTACAGCAACCTGATAATCAAAAAACATATGATATGATATCACAGGCGATTGTCCTCTGACTGTAGACACTTCTCATATAAGTTAGCTTGAGAAGCATACAGTACTATTTGATCTATAATATTTGTAAAATAAACATTTGCAGGTTAAAGAAACAGCATAGGAGTGGCTTTGGTGCAGATGAAAAGTTTAAAAGGTGTATTTGTATATAGAGAGACATGGGTAACTAGATAGAATAGACAGAGATAGGTTGATCTCTGCAGCAGCTGCCCAAGAGCTGCGCGCTGCAGACGCAGCTGGTGTGAAAGGCAAACGCCTGCGTGCTGCTACTGCTCGACATACGCGCTGCTCCTGCTCTGCTCACGGCCCGCTGACGCTTGCGGTGTGAAACAGGCGTGAGTGTTTTGTTTTTTCTGAATCTTGCCTTAATGTACACCAAAATTCATCCCGGCACGGCTACATTACAGCTTCTAATTAATTCAAAACATTCATTCATTGTTGTTGTTTTTAATAGCGGGTGATAATCGCACCAAAACGCATTAAAAGATAAGTGAATTATAACAGCGCAAACTTTTCTGTTACCGTAGTAGGGCTGTGCGGTATTTGTTTAACACTTTAAGGTGACGTGCTGACAGACTGATTACTTACTGATAGGTGCGCGATGCGTGAGGCCAGCAAACACGACGTAGCTTTCAGTTAAGATGAAAACGGTTTCCATAACTATACTTTATTTATAGATGAAGGTCTGTAATTCTGCATACAAATACTTTACGTTATCTTGCTTGAGTAGTTTATTGCCATTTCTCTCTACTTTAGGATGCATTAATACCAATCTGTAGGTCTATTGAAGACATTCATAAATATTCCTAGCAAATCTAATAAATGTTGGAGACATACTCACTACATAAACGCATCTGAATCGCACTTCAGCAGTGTTTATTTGAGAGCGCACAAGAAGATCTGCGCTTGAGCAGCGTGTTTGAGGGTGTGCAAGAAGTTTTGTGCAGGAGCAGAGGAAATCGGCGTGCAAGCAGAGATTGGCATGCTCGTATTAATGTTACATAAATGCGACCCCGACTTGTACTGCGCTGACCACATTTCTCCATTTGTCATTGAAATATGCCATATGTAGTTGGTAGTTTTGTGTAAAAGACCTGCCTAGAAAAAGTCCTAGAGGAAACACTGTTCAAGTAGCTCAAACTCGCTCATTCAGAGGCAGGAACCTAGCTGACCAATTACAGAGCTTGCTCTTTGCATCATTGCAACGTGTAGTTACATTTTTTGAGAGGTGTGCATCGAGTGCTATGTGACTGTGAGTAGGCTGTGCTGGACCATTCACAAGCTCTTGATGCAGAAGTAAAAATCAGCATTTTATTTAGTAAATGTCACTAATAGATGATTTGAGTACACACAAACATAGCTACTGACAACACAACAGCTAAACATTCACTTCAACATTAGTGTAAATCATTTTTCTGTCTTTAAATAAATGATGTAGTTACGCTGCATTTTTACAGCTCGGCTACAAAGACAATCCTGGTTCAGAACTACATGTCAGTTGACCGGAACAAGGGTTGTACCATGCCTTTCAGCTGGAGGATTAAAGATTATCTAGAGGATCTCTGGAAACATGCTCTGCAGCAAGAAGGTACTTTTACTGAACTGCTGTCCTTACGGTGTTTTTCTTCAGAACAATCACGAAACAAAAAAGTGCAGTTATCGTGAGAATACTATTGAAATGTTACAAGTATAAAGTCAAAATATTACAAAAAATAAAGTTGACATTTTTTTAGAATAAAATTAAAATATAACTATTATACAGTTGACATTTTTAAAAATAAAATCGAAATATTACTTGCACAAAGTTGCCGCTTTCGAAAATAAAGTAAAAATATAACTAGAATAAAGATGAGGTTTTCGAGAATAAAGTCAAAATATTCTGAAAATAAAGTAGAAAAATTCAAGAATTAAATAAAAATATTGCAAAAATTAAGTTTTTGATAATAGTCAAAATATTACTAGAATAACAGTGACATTTGTGAAAATAAAGTCGGAATATTAAGAGAATAAAGTAGAAGTATCAAGAAAATAAAATCAAAATGATAGTGGAACAAAGTTGACATTTTTGAGAATAATGTCAAAATATTACTACAGTACAGTTTTTTAGAGTAAAGTCGGAATACTCCACGAATATAGTAGAAGTACCTGTATCACAAGAATAGTGTTGAAATACTCCACGAATAAAGTAGACGTATTACTAGAATAAATTCATAATATTACATGAATAAAGTTGACATTTTCGAGAATAAAAATAAAATATTACTAGAACAAAGTTGACTTTATTGATTTGTGAGAATATAGCCGGAATATTACGAGAATAATGTAGAAGTATTTTGAGAATAAATTCAAAATATTTCTAGAGTAAAGTTGACATTTTCGAGACTAAAGTCAAAATATTCCATGAATAAAGTAGTCAAAAATCGAAATAATAGAATAAAGTTGACATTTTCAAGAATAGTCAAAATATTATTAAAATAAAGTTGACATTTTTGAGAATAAAGTCAGAATATTCTGAGAATAAAGGAGAAGGATTGTCAGAATAAAATCTAAATATTACAAGATTAAAGCTGAAATCTTTGAGAACAAAGTCAAAGTAGTTTTTTGAATAAATTAGAAATTAAAAAAATAAAGTCGGAATACTTCACAAATAAAGTAGCAGTATCATGAGAATAAAGTTGGAATATTACAAGAATAATGTTGACATTTTTGAGAATAAATTTTAAATATTACTCAAATAAATTTGACATTAGTGCGAAAAAAGTCTGAATATTTTCAGAATATAGTAGAAGCATCACGAAAAAAAAGTTGAAATATTGCAAGAATAAAGTTGACATTTTCGAGAATAATCACAATATTACTAATATATAGTTGACATTTACAAGAACACAGTTGAAATATTGTCAGAATAAAGTAGAAGTATCTCGAGAATGAAGTTGAAATATCACAAGAATAAAGTTGACGTTTTTGAGAATAAATTTAAAATATTTTTAGAATAAAGTTGAAATTTTCTGAGAACAAAGTCGGAATACTCTGCGAATAAAGTAGAATTATTATTAGAGTAAAATTAAAATATCACTAGAACAAAGTTGACATTTTTGAGAATAAAGTCAAAATATTACTAGAATAAAGTTGACATTTGTGAGAATAAAGTCTGAATATTTTCAGAATAAAGTAGAAGCATCACAAGAATAAAGTTAAAATATTACAAGAATAAAGCTGACGTTTTTGAGAATAAATTAAAAATATTATTATAATAAAATTGAAATTTTTGAGAATAAAGTTAGAATATTCTGTGAAGAAAGTATAATTATTTTTAGAATAAATTGAAATATTGCAAGAATAAAGTTAACGTTTTCGAGAATAAAGTCGAAATATTAGAACAATAAATTGACAATTGACTATTACGCCATTGTACCTTTTTAGCTATAAAAGCTGATTTTTCATTTCTTGTAACAGGTCACACAGTAAAGCAATTTGAAGAGTTCTTTTGGAAGACTCCCTTGGGAAGGTACATCTCTGAAGCAACTAATGAAATGCAGATGGAGTTTTTCTACAGGTATCTCCAGGATTTTATCTCCATGACCATGAATGTAACATCAGAGGTGGACTTCGAGGTGAGAGTCAGACCCTTTAAAAGACTTCAACCACAACATCTGCACATCCAAGCAGATACACTTGTTCACTAGGTAATATGAGATATGTTGATGGCATGAAATTAAATTTGAAAGGTATGTTTTTATCTGTCAGGTTCTACGTGGAGCCTTTACATCCAGTGTAAATGAGGTTAGAATTGCTCACGAAGCACATGAGAGTGAAGCTCTTTCTCTGGTGTGGATTCACGTTGCCTACCATCATTTCAAGAACCGAATACAGAACCTCCACCGGATGATGAGTTTAGAGCCTCAGATTTCCCAGATGCTTCTGGAAAACAGATATGCCAGCGAGGGCAAAGAGTTGGTAAGTGCTTGAAGTTTTTACATAGATATATTAGTTAAGTGGCATCTGTAGCAACTCTCATGGAAACAAAAAAACAACAACAAAAAAGTATATATATATATATATATATATATGTGTGTGTGTATATATATGCATACATACAGTGCTCAACATAAATTGATATACCACATTTAGAAAATATTTTTAATATTCTCAGTGAATATACTGTAGGTAATATATTTTGGTGCATTTGAACAAAACAGATTTATTAAATGGATTTATTTATCAAAATAATATTTTGTCACCAAACATCTTTAGAAATAGAAAGATGATCCATTTAAATCCAGGGGAACTATTTGGGAAAATATTACAAACTACAAAATATCAAAACAATTTTAGATATTTTTGTTTATCTTGAATGCTTTTATTTAATATTTTTTCTACCCTATGATCCTACCTTATGTAAGTTTACACACACTCTAAAAAAAGGAACATTAAATGTCTGATAGTAAATAATACTAAACGTTTATTATTTTAGGTACGATAGGATTACCTAAATGATATACATTTGCTAAATGCCAGAATAAATTTGATTAATATCTAGACAGTCAAAAGTTTACCTACATTTCCTTGGTTTTTTTAGCTTTGCTTTTATCCTGTATAACTTTGGTGAGATGTTTTGGGTATCCTTCCACAAGCTTCTCACAAAAGTTTGAAGGTAATTTGGCCCATTTCTCCTGACAGAATTGAGTAAGAATTGCTCGCACAAGCTTTTTCAACTCTGCCCACAAATTTTTTCTATAGGATTGAGAGCAGGGCTTTGTGATGGCCACTCCTAAACATTCACTGTGTTGTCCCTAAAGCATATCATAACTAATTTGGCAGTATGCTTAGGGTCATGGTCTGTTTGGAAGACCCATTTTTGGCCAAGTTTTAATTTCCTGGCTGATGTCTTGAGATGTTGCTTCAGTATTTCTACACAATGTTCTTTCTTCATGATGCCATCTATGCTTTGAAGTGGACCAGCCCCTCCTGCAGCAAAACAGCCCCACAACATGATCCTGCCGCCCCCATACTTCACAGTTTTGTTCCTAGGCCTGTAAGCTTTCCCCTTTGTCCTCCAAATGTAACACTGGTCATTATGGTCAAACAGCTCTATCTCAGTTCCATCAGACCACAGGACATGTCTCCAAATTTTTATTATTTTTCCCAGTGTAATTTAGCAAATTGTAATCTGGCTTTTTTTGTTGTTGATTCTGGCTTGTTGATTTTCCTATGTTGTCACACAAGGAAGCAGTGTGTCTACAGTTGTGCCTCCAATTAACTCAAATGTTGTCAATTAGCCAATCAGAAACTTCCAAAACATTGACATCATTATCTGAGCTTTTTCAGAGGCATAATGATCTTATTGTATGTAAACTTGACTTTCAAGAAAAGTTATAACAATTTCTCAAAAAATAGCTCTCTCATTATTCTGCTATTAAGCATAACACAAACAAATGTGATAGTTCTAACTTACCTAAAAGAGAAAAAGTTTAGTCACATTAACATCTGACTTTTTTTTTTTAAATGGTTATGTGTTTTTTATACCGGGTATACTTCTGGTTTCAACTGTATGTCTTATAAATCTGTAGATAATCATGTACAACCTCACTATAACATCAATTATAACAACCTCACTAACAGAGTATTGTTATGAAAAAACAAAGCATTAGGATATTTAAAAATCCTTGGATTTTCAATGACCACAGTCAGAGTCAGGAGTCAGGACCTCGGCGCTCACTGAGCAGTATAGAGCGTTAGGACCCACACAGACTGCAGGTTTAGTACCCTCTGCTGACCTCACTAACACCACTTCCTAGCTTTCCTACAGTATGTGATCTCCCATCCAGGTACTGACCGGGCGCAGCCCTGCTTAGCTTCAGTGGGCAACTATGTGAGAGCTAGCTGCCGGCTAGTACAAATACATATGTATACTAATATGAAAATACACATTTTATATTGCACATTTAATTATTTCCTTTAAACCGAGCTGATAATTGGTCTCCGTGGCATGCAATTCAGACAAATACAGCTGCCTGAATCTACATAGAGTGGCAGACCTGTTACCTGGTTGTATATACCTTATGTATTAGAGCTTATTGTCTCATTTTCTTTGGTTTCAAGATGATTGAAATCATTTTATTTTTGTGGTTGTATTTGTTTGGTAATATAGCATTCACTGTATTTACTGTTTTCTGCAGAAATGTCTTCAAGGTAAGGTACTACAATGTTCTGCATGCACGTCAGGGTTTTCTAATTAGTGCACTGCAAAAATGCTTATCTTAGAGCTTTTGTCTTCCTTCTGGTTCAATTATCTAAATACTCTTTCTTTAAAGCGAAAACAAGGTTATCCCATTGGCAAGTTATTAGCGTGTTTTTAAGGAAAAACTTGTGTAATTTTTAATTTTTATTTTTGAAAGCAAGACATTGGGCTCTAGTTTGACGATCCATGTGTAAAGTGCAGGGCGCAAAAGCGTTAAGGGCATGTCTGAATCCACTTTTGCTATTTTGAGGATGGTAAAATTCATTTTGCGCCGTGGCGCATGGTCTAACAGGGTTGAGCTTATTTTCTTAATGAGTTATAGGTGTGTTTTGAGGATAAACCAATCAGAGTCTCATCTTCCATTACCTTTAAGAGTCAGTTGCGTCGCGCTAGAGGGTATTTGCTATTTACATGGTGGACTTTATAAGTCTAAAAACTGAACACTTCACTAGAGAGAAAACAGTTGAACAGAGCATCTGCAGGCAAGAATGAGGGATGAGCCTCCGTATTATTTACTTTCACTTTTGTGGATTGGGAAACTTCTTGTATGCACAGACATCCATTAGCCTATAACTAATTAATTTGTTAATTAATAAGTTTGTTAATTTGTTTCAAAACTTTTTCTAATTTCAGTTCTAATTTCTCTAGAAAATGATTAAATGAACAATAATAATGAAGTGTGGTCAAAAAATTTTATCCAAATACACATGCTGTGCCCTATATGGTCTAAAACCTGACAGGTGGATAAATCTAAACTTGTTTTAATAAAACAAATAAAAATATGCATTTAATAAACAATACTGCTAATAATATTATACAAAAGCATAAGGCATGCAAGTATGGTTTTCATATTTATGTAGGCTAGAAAATAATATGTTTTGTAATATTTTAATCCTTTATATTTATATTCTATATATATCCTTATTATATCTTATATACATGTATACAGGACTTGAAATTGCGACCCTTTTGGTCGCATATGCGCCCGAAATGTTATCTATGCGACCTTAAAATATATTTGGGAGCACTTCTGCGAGTGCTTAAAATTTTTGTGTGCGACCAGTTTTTACTGCAAAATGTTCAGCACATGCGCGGATTCGGGAGACATTCACGCAGAATGCATCTCTAAGCTCTTTGTCTGCACTTGAAATGTGAAACGCAGCGCTCGGGAATGGTGTAAAACAGTTGTCATGTCAACTTGCTGCAGTAAACAAAGCCAAGTCTGTAATGCTTGCCCCGCCTTCGCGCTCTTCTTATTGGTCCACCACTGCTCTAGCACTGAACGCGAATGATTGGTTAATATCAGCTGTCAATCACTCAGTCAGTGCCTTCTGGTTTCGGATGACAGAGAGAGCTACTACCGCGAAAAATTGTAAAGCGCTGAAGATGAGAATGAAGATAACACTGGCAGATTTAGTTTTAGAAACCATGGCATCTAAAGTTATAAATAATGACACATCTAACTAGTGATCGTGTGCTGAATGTTAATCCACCATCTACACTTTTCCAAGAGTAGAAGACTTCCATTGGCTTCAAGTCCGCTATGAAAAGTCTGTGGGATGGAGTTTTCAGGTAACTGTTTGCCACATCTAGCACGAGAGCTTCAGTTTAATCCTTCATATAATCGCCAGATGCTGTCCGCCGTGCAAGGGGCAGCTATATGTCAAATTGAACACAACGTACACCATCGCAAACGGGCTTGCCTTGCACTGAGTAAACTAATATCGCTACTCCTAAAAAGACCGGTATTGCTATTAACATGTATGCATATAATAAGGTACAGTACATGTCAAAAGCATCAGTGCAGTATCAGACAGCACTTGTGAGAACAGAACAGTTATACCGTTAACAGATTCATTCAAGCAGTGCGTGTAGGGCCGGTTAGCGCTCCGTGTATGCTTTGGTCACTCAGTTATGGTATAAAAATGTATTTTCTTGTGATAACGGGATTTCGTTGAGACATATTTTCCTCATGCTTGCATATATATATATATATAATTTTTTTTGCTTGTTAGTTTGATTAGTGTTGATTTCAAATACAATATAAATCTGTTTTTATAAAACTTGTAGTAACGGTGCTCATAATTGGTGGGTGCGACTAAATTTTGGCTGATACACCTACATTTTTAAAGTTAGGAGCACCGGTGCTACCAAGCAAAAAGGTTAATTTCGAGCCCTGTATATATATACTTAATATTTAAATAATTTTTCATTTGTAAAGATATTTGTGTATTGCTGTACATCCTCTCTGTATAAAGCAATGTTTAAGCGAGGTGCACAACTAACGTGCTCTTTGCTGGACAATAGACCGGCTTTGTTCTGGTCTATTGAACAATCTATTACAGTTTCTCAAAATAGCAAAGCTCCAGCAATACACCTCAAAACGCCTCCTTTTTTAGACCAGAACGCCTATGGGAGCAGATATGAGTGCAAATGCATTTGCTATTTAAACAGCGTGCTGCAAAACAACAAAACAACTCTAGCGCCGAGCTGAAACTAGCAAAGAACTATTGCGTCGCGCCGCATTGCGCCGGGTGTATGATAGAGCCCAATATGTTTAGCTTGTCTAGAAAATGCTTCTTAATTTGAGAATTGTGAGTTATTTGGACTAAAAATAAGACAAAAACTCTTTTTTTTTTTTGCAGTGTGAAGCTTATACGGTATCAAGATTGCGCAATGAGGGGTTTCTATGAGGCTGTAGGTTTTAGTTCTAAGTGTATTTTTATTGTTCTTGTGCTATTGTTTTATTAGTCTCTATATATTTATTATCTAGCATGCTATTGTTGTACTCGTTGTTAGATGAGTGTCACATATATATTTCTTGTGTCTTTTTTTGTTGCTCTACTTGGTGATATGATAGGGATAAAGAAGATGGGATGGAACTGTAAAGGTTTGAATAACCAGTTGTTTTCATCCCTCCTAATTCTTTCTAATGGCTCTGCTTCTAATTGCAACAAGGTCACTTTTAGTACGATTTTGTTTGTATACCTGACATTCACTCTTATTTAATAGTCCCGAGAGCACATTTTAACATTTTTAACCACGACTTAAGTCAACTTAGTGTAATGTGAAAACTGGAAATCATGTAAGTATTACATTACTATAGTAATGAAATGTTCATAATTCAATCTAATCTCTCAAAACGTTATAAAATATTGAACTTCACATGCGCTACTCATGCACAAGTCAGTGATGAATTTCCCCCTATATAATGTTTACACCCTGGTATAGACTTTCACTGTGTTTTTCAGTTTTTACACGTCAAAATCCAGCCTTTTACAGTCATACAAAACTCCTAACAAGCACATGATTGCTGCATTTACTAAATATACAAATTGAAAGGATATGTCCACATAGAAAAAAGCTAAATCAAGATCTTTTTTTGCGTCCCTCTGTCTATTCTGATTCTCAGGTATTAGATGTGCTTGCTGCTGTGGCCTGTATTGAATACTTGGAGCCCCAGAATCTAGATGGAGACGATCAAAGTCTGGCCTGGCTTAGACGTGTTAAAAAGCTTCAGGTGCCTGTTGAGCTGGTCTGCAGTCTAGAGAGCCTACATAACCGTGGAGACAGATGCAGACAGATGGTCACCAACATCCAGTGAGTAATGAGCCATAAAATCTATCTATTATTTGTATATTAAATACATTGTTGCATTTTATTTTCACAGTTAAAACAACATGGCAGATTACCTCAGAAATATAGTCTATATGTCATATATGGCATATTATATACATAATTTTTGATACATTTTTAAATGTGTGTAGCATGTTCATGACATATTTCATTCCTCCGCTTACCACTAGAAGGAAGCCTGCGTACCGCTAGTGGTACACCCACCACAGTTTGAGAACCACTGCTTTAGTGGATATGCTTTAGTAATCAGTGGTTGTTGACCTTTTTTTTGTCAAACTAAGTAAATGATTGGTGGTATTAATGATAATTGTATTTTTGAATGACATTTCTTGTTATATTTTTTTCTAAGATGCATTACAGTTACTGAGGGGTGAATTAAAATTGGAAGTATCTAGGTTTTTGCTTTGTTTAAACATATTTTTTGGCTTTTCTTTCTTTCTTTCTTTCTTTCTTTCTTTCTTTCTTTTATTTATTTATTTATTTATTTATTTTTATTTGTAATTTTTTTTTATTTGTTACCATTTATGTAACTATTACAGTTTTACTTGGCTGTGGATCTTTATTCTCTTCATGTACTGTATCAGCCAGTTCTTTTTGAATGCACCTTTTCCCTCTTCAACATACTGTATATGTAAGATCTTTCATATATCTTCAATAATATTAAACCAAAATTCAAAGTTGTGTCTTTAAGCCAATTTCTAGTCATACTTGCCACAAGGAAAATCTTAGATAAATATTGTTCTCTTTTGAGTACAACATCTATAATATCTCCCATAAGCAAAAATCAAGAGGTTTTGGGAATATTGTATCCAAGCACTTCGGTACTAACTACTTTCATGTCATGCCAAAAATATTATATTTTGTTTTCCACAAATTCCAAAATATTTTAATTCATCTTGAGAAATCCAGGACCCTGATTTAGAAACACTGCATTGTTGTAGATTGCACTGGATCATAGCACTTAATGTCATCTAACACAATCCTGCTGTAAATTATAGAAAGTTTCATTCAGAGTGTGAGTGTGTGTTGTGAGAATTAATATTGCAAGACAATTTACAACAGGGGTGCCCAAATCAGTCCTGGAGGGCCGGTGTCCTGCTGAGTTTAGCTCCAACCCCAATTAAACAAACCTGACACAGCTAATCAAGCTCTTACTAGGTATACTAGAAACATCCTGGCAGGTGTTGAAGCAAGTTGGAGCTAAATTCTGCAGGACACCGGCCCTCCAGGACCCAGTTTGAACACCTCTGGTTTACAATATATTTTCAGTTCAGTTCTGTATGGCACAAAAAAAAATGTTTCATATCATTGAACTGTTCATTTTCAGACATGGCTGGCGTCGCATTTACTCTCTGGTGTTGTTTGTGGAGCACATGCTGCTGGGTGTTGGAGATTTACAACAGAAACTCAAGCCGGTGGTTCTGGAACACACTCAGCTCCTAGCACAAGTGAGTTCACTCACAGTCTTTCACTGCATATTCTTTGTGCAATTTTCTTAAATGTTCCTATCTGTGTGCTGAAGGTCCTAGAGCAGGACTCAAACCTCAAAAAGAAGAAGCCATTTGAGGCTGTGATCACTGTCCTAAAAACCTGCAAAGATAAAGCATCTCAGAGGATTATAAGGTATGATTTGTTGTTATTGTTAGGGTTTAGTTAGTGATTAATCCTATTATGGTGATTTTTTTTAACCTATTTTTATTGACCCAGGTTTGGCCTTCAGCTCTGTCCAGTGTGTATGGGAGACCCTCGGGACCCTTTAAGTCTGCCGTGTGACCACATCTACTGCCTGACCTGTATCAGGCAGTGGCTTGTGCCCGGTCAGATGCACTGCCCTCTGTGTGTGCAGGAAGTGCCTGACAACTTTGAGCTCAAGCCCTCTGACGAGCTACGGTAATCTACACAATGTCTGGATTGAATGGTTGTGCGTTACCTTTCTGTTTGAGTTTGAGGGTGCTTTCACACCTACACTTTTGTTTCGGAACCTGTCTCGTTTGCCCAGTTAGTGCGGTTCGTTTGGCATATTTGAATCCACCAATCGCTCTCTGATCCGCGCCAAATCAATCGCGCCGAGATCGCTTGAATGAGGTGGTCTCAGCTCGATTGAAACAAACTCTGGAGCGGATCGATTGCAGTGAGAAAGCGATACGATCCGAGCGCAGTTACATCCCTGTGTTTTATGGATATGTAATAGTTTACTCACACGTCACTTGTTTTAGCTCTTTTTTGTCCGATTAGAAACTTTGCAGTGTGAAAGCGAACCGCACCAAGAGCAAAGAGCAACAATGTAACATTTGTAATCTCTGTTTCGGAACAACTGAATCGATTCACAGGTGTGAAAGCACCCTAAAAGTGTATGTTTTTGTTTCTGGTAATTAGGCGTCTCATCAGTCAAAATGCATCGTTCAGAATGCGATGCAATGCTTTCTTCATTGATCTGGTGTCCACCATGTGCTTCAAAGACAACACTCCTCCCAGCAAAGACATCATCCTTCATCTGTTGTCTCTGCTGATGGTAGAGGCCTCCTCGCTTCCTCCGTTCAAGGGTATGTTTGTCTAAAACAACAGTCAGCACCAGAAAGTTGTTATCGCAGAAAAACGCCCTATCACAAGCCCGAAATTGAAGCAAATGGCTGTTGTATATAACAAAGGGCTTTATTCTGTGAAAACATCTGTCTTTAAGCCAATTTCTAGTTATACTTGCCACAAGGAAAATCTTAGATAAATATTGTTCACTTTTGAGTACAACATCTATAATATCTCCCATAAGCAAAAATAAAGAGGTTTTGGGAATATTTTATCCAAGCACTTTGGAAATAACTACTTCTTGTCATGCCAAAAATATTAGATACTGTTTTCCACAATTTTAAAAATATTTTAATTCATCTTGAGAACTCCAGGACCCTGATTTAGAAACACTGCATTATTGTAGATTATTGTAAAAACGCCCTATCACAGGCCCGAAATTGAAGCAAATGGCTGTTGTATATAACAAAGGGCTTTATTCTGTGAAAACATCTGTCCTGGATGTACTTAATCTTGCTTATTAAATGGCTACTTGCCACAAAACATAAACATTAGACGCACGATATTGCTCTGATCCTTAATATATTGATTTTTTAAATAAATGCAAAGCTGAAAGAAATAAAGCTTATAATAACCTCCAGTTGAAGTCAGAGTTATTAGCCCACCTGTTTATTTTTTCCCTAATTTCTGTTTAACAGAGAGAAGATTTTTCAACATATTTCTAAACATAATAGTTTTAGTAACTCGTTTCTAATAACTGATTTATTTTATCTTTGCCATGATGACAGTGAATAATATTTGACTAGATATTTTCAAGACACTTCTATACAGCTTAAAGTGACATTTAAAGGCTTAACTAGACTAATTAGGTTAACTAGGCAGGTTAGGGTAATTAGGCAAGTTATTGTATAATGATGGTTTGTTCTGTACACTATCGAAAAAATATCTTAAGGGGCTAATAATTTTTTACCTTAAATGTTTTTTAAAAAAATTAACTTTTTTTTGCAGAAATGAGACGTTTTCCAGAAAAAAAAATATTATCAGACATACTGTAAAAATATCCTTGCTCTGTTAAACATAATTTGGGAAATATTAAAAAAGAAAGAAAAATTCAAAGGGGGGCTAATAATCCTGACTTTAACGGTATGTATTATTTATTCCCAAGATGGCACCAAACAGTCAAAAAACGCAGCGGGACAGACAAGCCATTTTAAAACTAATTCATTTCAGTTTAGTGTAAATGTCACAGTTGAAGTTCAGTTTAATTCAGATCAGTGCAATGCAAATCTCACTGAAGGTCATTTGAAAAGGTACGAAATTGATCTAAAAATCGTAATACTAATCTGAGTCTAATCGTTACTGTAAACACATTTTAAGAAATATTTCTATATTTCTATTTTCTTCAAACATTTCTTTTTTAATTTAAGAGTGAAGTACCAGCTGAATGCAAAATCTGCATTTGGTTGTTTGACCACTGAAAATGTGTCAACTTCAACACTGTCTGACTGACTTCCAACTGGAATTAAACCATGTTTAACATTGAAAATAAGAACAACAATGGAGTTTGTTTAAAAAAAAAAAAGGAAAGTTAAACACTTAATTTACTTTAATATTAAAATCTACAGTGCTTGTTGCAAATATTAGATGTTATATGTTGTCACACTATTGTCACTTTTTGCCGTTGTTTACACCACCACCACCTTGCTGCCATGGTTTGCACCACCTTGGATTCTTGCTGCTGTCCATCCCTTGATGAACTCAACCTTGTTGATAACTTGTGATTTGGTGTGGATTTGCATCATCCATGTGTAAACAAATCTTCAGCAACACTTATCTTATTCAAAAGGACCAAGTTTAAAATGTCTTGTTTAAACTACAGTATGTCACAAACATTTATAGTTTAGAGCAGGGGTGTCCAAATTACGGCCCGCGGGCCATCTGCGACCCGCAATCATTTTGTGGCGGCCCGCGAGGCTTTTTATAAATATTAATAGAATCTGGCCCGCTATACAAAAATGAACGTAATTCAATAAATAACCACCGGGTGTCCCTATCACATGCCTTCAATTAAGCAGCAGTTATCTTGTTATGAAGTAAATCGAACCAAACAAACTGAAGGAAACTTTTTAATTGATAACATTTTGATTCATGTTTTGGCGAGCCATGGCACAACCAAAAAAAAAAAGGAAAATCAACAGTGAGTGCAGGAAGTTTCAGTCACGTTGAGGCAAAGAATATTTCTTCACAGAGGTCAGCGGGAAATGTATGTTTACTTTCAGTTGAAGTAATAAAGGTATATAATATTAAAAGATATTATGAAACAAAACATCAGGCCTTCAGCTCTTACACTGGTGCTGAACAAGATCAAAAAGTAAAACAATGAGCAGCGCCCTATCATATGTATATATGTATACATATATGTATATATATGTATATATATATATATATATATATATATATATATATATATATATGTATATATATATCAAGCGGCAACCTCCTGCTCTCCCTCAGGAAGCCAATACGGAAGTAACTAAAACTGCAATTCATCTGAATTTCCGCAAGTCCTGGGCGCTCCTGGCTCCAAAACAGAGCAAATTTCAATTGAGCCCACTGTTAGAATAGCCAACTTTACAGCAGAAAAAAAGGTGTTTACAGCCTGGTACAAAAAAAGATTTTGGTTAATACAGCTAACATTACCCTTCATGACAACTGTGAGGGGGGTGAATTTTTTTATAACTCATCCGTTTTCTTTATATTAAGTTATATTAAGTTTGCATAATTAAGGGAGTGGCCACTTGAGTGACAGCTAGGTCTCGTTGGTCGCCGTCACGTCACCTCAGCTGAATCCGGCAGGTTAGCCACTGAACTCGGCATATTCATCGTATTTCTGTGTTGTTTTATGTGGCTTTACACAGTCAACTGCCTTTTGGACTTGTTTCCTACAATTATTAGATGGCATGGCATGCTGAGTGCACTTAATTGTGCTCAAAAACCATTCACGTGGCCTCCGTTTCCCCTGTGAGTAAAGTTACATACTTATATACCATCTCTATACATGTATTTGTTTTATTTCAGATCATTTATCGTTTATATTTATATTTAGAGCTGTAATGCACTTCTAAATCTGTCAGATTGATTAGCTGTAGGTTCTAGAACAGTCATCTGAAGCGTTGTCATACAGTGTTATGCTGGATTTCATCAATAGTCTTACATTAACTAACACAGACTGTATATGAAGTGTTTAGAAGTAATTCACGTTTTCCTCCTGTTGAAAAACGTCATAAGAACAATGTTTAGTAGCTCAATGTATTACAGCAGTGTTTTTAAAGTCTAAACACTTCATTGATATAGTTTACAACCAAGCACAAGTGGTCAGAATACAAACGAGTCGCAGGTGATAAAGTATTAAGCGTTCTCCCAAAGTAAAGTGTGTCTGAACCAGGTCCAAGCTAAATGCCAGCAGGTGTCTGTAGCTCCGCTCACTCTCCGCCTCTTTGCCTTTGTTTGGTATCCCGCCGTGGGTGTGATGACGTGCAAACAAAATGGCGACGGTTGGCCACGCCTGCTTGTGGCTTCTTTTGCGCTCTTTAGAAACCTATGGGTGACGTCACGGATACTACGTCCATATATTTTACAGTCTATGATATATATATATATATATATATATGTGCCTGTCTGTCTTTGTGATGTATGTCAAATTTGGCCCGGGAAAACGTTTTTTTAATTTTGCATCTGGCCCTTGGCCCAAAAAGTTTGGACACCCCTGGTTTAGAGACTTGAGTCCAACCCAGTACAAGCAAGAAGGACCTAAATAAAGTGGCTAGTGGGGCTATTTGCTTGGTCGACAAAAGCCTGTCGAACTCCTTTTTAATATATTGTACAGTGCAGAGGATTTGATTTAAATTCAAATGAATAAATATTCAAACCACTGTTTCTCATCCCTTCAGGGAGAGACCGCAGGTTCTTGACTAAGGCCCTTTCGCCTTTTGATGACTCTGTGGATAAAAATCCAGTGGTTCGTTCAGTGGTGCTGAAACTCCTGCTCAACTACAGGTGAGTGCAGGGCTTGTTACAGCTCACAGCTTGCTTTTCCTACACATTATGAATGTAATACAATGTTGTCTTCTCCTCCCGCAGCTTTGATCATGTGAAGGATTATCTTCAACAGCATCTGACAGAGGTTGAGCAAAGCAAAATCCTCGAGGAGACTGATAAAGCAGAGCTTTATTGCTTATACATGAACTGTTTGGAGGTTTGTTAATCACTGCCTTCACAAGCTTACTTAATGTTAGTACACCGCAAACAAATGATTTCGTGCTTAGGTTTTGGTCTTGTTTCTAGTCAGAAATAAAGTGAGTTTTTTTCTGTAAAACAAGCAAAATAATCTGCTAATGCAGAAAGTAAAATAATCTTGTTTTTTCTTTTCATGTCAATCAATCAATCAATCAATCAATCAATCAATCAATCAATCAATCAATCAATCAATCAATCAATCAAAGCCTTTATTTGTCACACTTTCATGTAATGAAATAGAACCCTCGGACCATACACAAACATCACATTTTAGGGGAAGAAAGGTCAAAGAGAGGCAGCGTTTAGAAAGGGGAAATAGACACATGGGGGGAGAGAGGCGAATAAAACTCCCTCTCACATTACCCTTGAATTAGGGCAGTTTGAGATCATAGAGAATCAAGCACATAAACACATAACATTGCAACAGGGGATGGTAACAGAAGGGGCCCTATCATACACCCGGCGCAGTGTGGCGCAAGACGTGGCGCAAGACGTGGCGCAGTAGTCTATTGATAGTTTAAGCTTGACGCAAGAGTCGTTTTGAGGCGTTGCGCTACGCTGTTTAAATAGCAAATGCATTAGCTCTCATTTTTGCGCCCATAGGCGTTCTGGTCTAAAGAGGAAGGCGTTCTGAGGTGGACCGCTGGCGCGTTGCTATTTTGAGAAACTATAATAGATTTTTCATTAGACCAAAACTAACCCGGTCTAAACTCCTGCGCAGAGTTGCGCCTCGCTTACGCACTGCTTAAAACACACAAGAGAGCAATAGGCAAATATCTTTACATATGAAAAAATGTAAATATTAAGGATATATATATAGGATATAATAAGAATAGATATAGGATATAAATATAAAGGATTAAAATATTACAAAACATATTATTTTCTAGCCTACATAAATATGAAAAATCACTGCTTTTATGTTCTCTTCATCTCGGGAGGCTTTTTCAGTTCATTCATAACAATTTGCTTTTGTATAATGTTATTATTATTAGCAGTATTATTTATTATATCCATATTTATATTTGTTTTATTAAAAACAAGCTTAGATTTGCCCACCTGTCAGGTTTTAGACCATATGGGGCACAGCAGGTGTTTTAGGATATAACTCAGGTTTTTGAGCTCATTTTGTTATTATTATTCATTTATTAATTTGCTGGAAATTAGAACTGAATTTAGAAATAGTTTTGAAACGAATATTTGCGCTTAACAAACAAAATTATTTATTTATAGACTAATTGATGTCTGTGCATAAAGGTTTCCTTTAGTGAAAGTGATCCATTATCTCTCATTCTCACGCAGTAGATGCTCTAACAGTTTTCTGTTAAAAAACTGTTAACTGTTTGCTAGTGACTTACTTTGCGTCCTGTAAATAGCGAATGTGCTCTTGGCGCGACGCAGCTGGCTCTTAAAGGTAATGGGAGATGAGACTCTAATTGGTTTATTCTTAAAACACACCTATAACTCATTAAGAAAATAAACTCAACCCTTTTAGACCATGTGCCACTGCGCAAGGCAGATTTGCCGTCCTTAAATTAGCAAAAACGCGTCCTGACACGCCCTGAAAGCATTTGCGCCCTGCGTTTTGCGCTCTGCGCATGGACTGTCAAAATAGAGCCCAAGATGTGGATATAGTCCAATGAGGGCGGCAGCCATCCGGTCCTGCAGCTAAAAAGCGCTGGTCACAGACCAGCCTACCCACTACCCATGTTTTTTTTTTTTTTTGTTGCTGTTTTTTTTTTTTTTTTTTTGCTTGGCCCATTGGCAGATTATGTAGCTTATTTTAAGGGAAAAACTCTCATAATTTTGACATTATTTCCTAAGAAAAGACAGTATGCTTTGCTTGTCTAGAAAATGCTTTTGTTTTAGATTAGAAACAAGACAAAAATCGGTAACACTTTACAATAAGGTTCATTAGTTAATGCATTTACTAACATGAACTAATCATGAACAACACATGTACAGCATTTATTAATCATAATTAAACATTTACTAATGCATTATTAACATTTAAGTCCATGCTTGTTAACATTAGTTAATGCACCATGAGTTAACAAACTAACAATGAACTACTGTATTTTCATTAACTAACGTTAACTAGCATGAACAAATACAGTAGTAAATGTATTGTTCATTGTTTGTTCATGTTAGTAAATGCATTAATTCACATTAACTAATGAACCTTATTGTAAAGTGTGACCCAAAAATCTAAGTAAGAAATGTTTTGCAGTGTAGTGTATCACATAAAGTATTTTTGATAATGACGTATCTTACTCAACTCTACTATGAAAGAAATTAAATGTGGATCAAGGCTGTTTTTCACTGGTCTTTTTTGATGAAATAGGTTTGAGCTTCATGGATATTCTTTGTCTAGATTCCATTTCTGGTCTTCTCTCAAAAGATGTATTTTTTAAACATAGTTTAAGGGTGTACTTACACTAGGCACAGTTGCCTTGAACCAAGCTCGGGAGCCATTGTCCCCCTCTTCCACTTCCCTGACAGCCTGCACTCACAGTGCAGGTTTATCTTCTGAGCTCAAGCACGCTTATATCATCGATGACGCGACGGTTAAGTTTAAGAGAAGCGCTCTTGCTCAGTACAATGGAAATTGCATTTGTTTTGTTCTTTTGTAATATTTCGAGTTGTTTGGAACGCAATGACACATGGCTGAATTCTTCCGCCGCCGCTTTTGACGCTCATAAATTTTCATAATAGTCCTTGTGCTGCACATATTAGGAGGCTGCAGCTGAACTGCAGTGAGAAGTTTGCATCTTTGATAAACTATGACAGTTCACGTTCATTGAAATGTAATAATAATTATTGAGTCCATATGAAACAGTCCTTTAAAATTGACATCACGTCTTCAGTTTGAACCCAACTGAACTTCCTCCAATCGGGCCCGGGCTAGCTGATCAAACCGCACCCAGGCGTGGCACAGAGCACTCATTTGTCAAACGTGTTTGTATAGCTTGATGTTAGTACACCCTAAGTTACATCCTTGAGGCATGAATAGTCCTGACTGACTAAAAATAAATGTTTCTTTGCTACACACATATTCACAATCTACACATATACAGAATCTAAGCTCTGCTGGATTCTGCTGGGTGGTCAAGGGGTAGAGGAGGGTCAGTTTCAAGTAACATTAGATCAATATGTTTTCGTATGTATTCAAACCAGTTCAGTCCAGTGACTGATAGAGTAAGTGTATTTTGTCTAGCAAATGCCTGTTGTCATTTTCAAGCATAATCCGGTCACACTTTATTTTGATGGTCTGTTTGTTGATTTAAGTTACATTGCATCTACATGCCAACTAATTCTCATTAGATTATAAGTAATACTGTTAGGTTGGGGTTGGGGTTGGGGTTGGGGTTACGTTGACATGTTCTTGCACAATTTCTTATAGTCAGTTAAATGTCTGTTGAAGGAGCAAGCGGCAACCTCCTGCTCTCCCTCAGGAAGCCAATACGGAAGTAACTAAAACTGCAATTCATCTGAATTTCCGCTAGTCCTGGCCGCTCCTGGCTCCAAAACAGAGCAAATTTCAATTGAGCCCACTGTTAGAAAGGCCAACTTTACAGCAGAAAAAAAGGTGTTTACAGCCTGGTACAAAAAAAGATTTTGGTTAATACAGCTAACATTACCCTTCATGACAACTGTGAGGGGGTGAATTTTTTTATAACTCATCCGTTTCCTTTATATTAAGTTATATTAAGTTTGCATAATTAAGGGGCGTGGCCACATGAGTGACAGCTAGGTCTCGTTGGTCGCCGTCACGTCACCTCAGCTGAATCCGGCAGATTAGCCACTGAACTCGGCATATTCATCGTATTTCTGTGTTGTTTTATGTGGCTTTACACAGTCAACTGCCTTTTGGACTTGTTTCCTACAATTATTAGACGGCATGGCATGCTGAGTGCACTTAATTGTGCTCACAAACCATTTACGTGGCCTCCGTTTCCCATGTGAGTAAAGTTATATACTTATACACCATCTCTATACATGTATTTATTTTATTTAAGATCATTTATTGTTTATATTTATATTTAGAGCTGTAATGCACTCCAGAATCTGATTAATTGATTAGCTGTAGGCTCTAGAACAGTCATCTGAAGCGTTGTCATACAGTGTTATGCTGGATTTCATCAATAGTCTTACATTAACTAACACAGACTGTATCTGAAGTGTTTGGAAGTAATTCGCGTTTTCCTCCTGTTGAAAAACGTCATAAGAACAATGTTTAGTAGCTCAATGTATTACAGCAGTGTTTTTAAAAGTTTAAACACTTTATTGATATAGTTTACAACCAAGCACAAGTGGTCAGAATACAAACGAGTCACAGGTGATAAAGTATTAAGCGTTTCTCCCAAAGTAAAGTGTGTCTGAGCCAGGTCCAAGCTAAATGCTAGCAGGTGTCTGTAGCTCCGCTCACTCTCCGCCTCTTTGCCCTTGTTTGGTTTCCCGCCGTGGGTGTGATGACGCGTGAACAAAATGGCGACGGTTGGCCATGCCTGCTTGTGGCTTCTTTTGCGCTCTTTAGAAACCTATGGGTGACGTCACAGATACTACGTCCATATATTTTAGTCCATGTGAAGGTGCAGTATCAGCAGATATTAAGCAGACAGTTTACTTATACTCAAATGGACCATCAAAATCAAGTGTTACCCATAATCCTAATAAAATGTCTGTTTTAAAATATGTACTTTACTTTCTTCTTTAAGTGAATACAAAAGTTTTTATTCAGAATTAGTAATAGAACTATTCATTCTTGGAGTACATTTAAATATGTTGGGTTATAAATTCAAGTTCCTCTTGTGTCTGCAGGATTCCATGTATGATCGGACACAGTGGCACACGGTAGCAGAACAGCAAAACTGTTTTCTAGAGGAAACACGCTTCCTGCTGGAGTTCCTTCAGTCTGATTCTGTGTCTGCGCACACTGCAACTGTGGAGCACCTGCAGCGGTTGGCCAGAGTTCGACTGTGCCTGGATATGGCTGCTGATCTGCTTGTGGCTAATGCCGGTAAATGCAGGTCTTTAGTGCTTGTGCTTTAGTGCAGTGTTTCTCAACCACGTTCCTGGAGAACCACCAGCTCTGCACATATTCCATGGCTGCATCTGAAATTGCCTATTATTAGTAGGCACTACATTTGAATTAGAATTTACTACTTGACTATTAGAAAGTACATTCTATACAGAATGAATGGAATACGGACGTACTACATTCGCCATTTTGTCACATCAGTTGTGTCACTTCACTCCCATTCCATGAATTCTTTAGCAGTGCATCATGGGATAGCATAGCATGCATTGGATGCACACTTCAGAATGTCGCCGTAAGTACTGTAGTAGCCCTGCTGAAAAATCCAGCCTAAACCAGCCTAGGTTGGTTGTCTGGTTTTAGCTGGTCGACCAGGCTGGTTTTAGAGGGGTTTTGGCCACTTCCAGGCTGGTTTCCAGCCATTTCCAACCTGGTCTTAGCTGGTTAGGCTGGGAGATGACCAGCTAAAACCAGCTTGACCAGCCTAGCCAAGCTGGGAGTCCAGCCAAAACCAGCTATATCCAGCTTAAACCAGGCTGGTCAACCTGGTTTTAGCTGGATTTGGCTGGTCATTTTCCAGCCTGACCAGCTAAGACCAGGCTGGAAATAGCTGGAAACCAGCCTGGAAATGGCCAAAACCCCTCTAAAACCAGCCTGGTCGACCAGCTAAAACCAGCCAACCAGCCTAGGCTGGATTAAGCTGGATTTTTCAGCAGGGAGGTCATCCAGGTTGTTCTCGCATACTGTTTTTAAAACTCTATGAATTTGGACATACTACTTGGCTCTCATGTTATTTTTAGTGTACTATGTAGTATTTAAGTCTGTGGTTTTGGACGCAGCCCATGTCTCCTTAACCAAGCACACCTGATTCAGATCATCAGCTCATTAGTAGAGACTGACAGACCTGTAATGGGTGTGACAGACAAAGGAGGCATCCAAAACATGAAGTGTTGGTGGTCCTCTAGGAACGTGGTTGAGAATCACTGCTTTAGTGTGTGATTTTACAAAACCTGCCTACCTGTTCTCCAGCAAAAACACAAGATTTTTTTAAATACGCTTAAAGTTTCACATCTGATCAGGCAAGAATTTTAAAACCGACTCATATCAGCTCTGTTTATTTGCAAACTAATTTCCTAACAGAAGTTAAAGTCCATCTGAAATCAAAATTTGTATTAATTATTTAGCTTATATTGTTATTTCTAAGGTGAAAAATTAACCAGTGCAATAGGGCTGGGCGATTTGGCAAAAAAAAAAATCTAGGTTTTTTATAAAGTTTGACCGATTCACGATTTCGATTTTTTTTTTTTTATTGTGTTACTAGTCTTCTTAAAACATTACAACAACATGACTGAAGTAACTTTCTCTTTAAAAGTAAATTAAAACAACTAGTTAAGGAACATTGTATTTTTAATGGCCATGTCATACAAAAATCGGTCAAGGTGTAAATAAATGTCAAACAATTTCACAAGTTAATTAGCGTTGCTGAAGATTTAAATAAGAAATATTTGTGTAAATATTGCAGTTGCAGGAATACAGAGGCATTTTTTGCAAGTTTTGCTGAGTCTAGGAAAGATTGGCTGTCAGCTCGGCTTTGGCTTTGTCTTCTGATTGAATGACAGGTTGTAAAGCTGCTGCCTTTTTCTTAAAAAGATACAGTGGAAGAAAAGGACTGAACATCGAAACTGTAAAGCCTAATTTAACCCAATGTGTGAAGTTGTGGACACATTTTTCCCCCTTTTAAATACCGATCATTTGATGCGCTTTGCTCCACTCTCTGTATTATGCTGCCTGATCTGTCTGGTTTTCAACTAGGTCCGCTAAATGACGTCATAGGGGCGTGTACTTTCATTTTTACTGCTACAGGCCCTCTGCTCTTGTTCAAACCAAAAGATCGGTGCGGTTTTTCACATGGCAGGCTTTTACGTCCTTCAAACATGTTGAGATCGAGTTTATCGACTTGATGAGAGAATATGTCTTGACAATCCACACAGACGTGACGCAGACTAATGTAACAAGTAAAATCCTACATGACTTCACGTTTTAACAGGCAGTTAAGCAGGTCACACACCAGAAGTGTCGCGACACGGCGCGCACATGACAGTTTAAACTATCACACACCACACGCGCACATTCGCATGATATTTAACATGAAACTAATCAGCACGGCTGAAATATGACCCGCGTCCTGAATCGTGGTGCTGCACGGCGCGTCGGCGAGAGGCGCTTCTGGTGTGCTTCCTGCTTCATACAGAGTGAACCAAAGCGCATTGGTGCCATTATAATGTATTAAATATATATATATATATATATATATATATATATATATATATATATATATATATATATTTATATATATATATTTATATATATATATATTAGTGCTGTCAATCGATTAAAAAAATGTAACTAATTAATCACACCTTTTTAAAAAAATTATCGCATTTAAAATACTGAAACTTGTAATTTTGGCTATTTAAATGTAAAATTAATGTAAACGCAAAACAAAAACTATTTAAATTCAAAATATAATTGTTTAATAGAATTTTTGTTTAACTTGTAACACAGATTTCTTCATGCAAACAACATACCCACAATAAACCATCAAGATCCTAGCATGACAGCCATATTTATTACAGAAATTAAAACACAGGCATGTTAATGACATTTAAATTTCAAAACAATCAATGCCAATAAAGAAAACATTGATTTCCATGTTGGATTCTAAGTGGACTGCAAAAAAATGCCAAAATACAGGAATTGCAGATATGGAAAATGAAAAATTATAATAATAAACTATAGAATACAAACTGTTGCACTCATTGTAAAGTTTTATTGCTGTGAGTTGAGAACATAAGTTATAGAGTAGAAACAATTTTGCTTAATCCTCCTTTACATTCATTCAGTTGCTAAGACTAGGAGTATCCCGCAAGTGCGCAGAGACTCCCAAAGGCCCGCAAATGAATGATAATTTCTTGCAAACCGGTCGTTAAATACATTGCACACCCCTCTCACCCCTACTCAGATACCTCACTCCACCCCTGACACCCCTTAACGGGCCTGACACAGACACACACACAGACAGACACACACACAACGCACTGCAGACGTTTTGGCCCCAACGGCCTTCCATACTGGAGCGACTCCCCTCAGATTCAACACGCATGATCATGTTCATCAAATTTGCTTAAACTAAGCGGCCTAAAGTATTACTGTATTTCACTAGGATTCTGACACAAGAACGCGAAGTATACGCTTTCGTTGCGTTTATTGAGGAAACAAGCTAAACTTGGAGGGCTTATGCTGAAAGGCAGAGTAATGCCCTGTCTTTGACAGCTCGCGACTTCACCAGACGTACTGAGTACATTTACGTAAGACACCAATACTCCGATTTTAATTTGATTAGGATTATACTCTTAAAATTCTACTGTGTAGCCTTAAAAGGAACCTTACCTTAAAGAAACACCGAGTCACGAAATGCGGAGGATTTTCTTTCTGTTCGCCATGCGGTATCAACTTACAACAGAAGTCGAAAGATAAAAATGAAACACCCGAAATTGCATGAAACTCTGGATAACCTGTGATGTATCTAATTGTTTTATACTGGAACTTGCCTTCAAAAAATGTGCTTCATTGGTCTTACCTTGGTCTTATCCACATTTATTGCATGTTGAACACACGTCTACCACAACAGGAAGTAAAAAAACCTGCGTGCGTTAATTGCGTTAATTTTTTTTAATGCGTTAATTATTTAAAATTAATCGCATGCATTAACGCGTTAATTCTGACAGCGTTAATATATATATATCTTAAAAATCGTGATTTCTCGATTTGATTCAAAATTAAATCGTCTGAGAACGTAAATTCGAATTAATAAAAAAAATCAGAAAAATCGCCCAGCCCTACAGTGCAAGTTAATCCTCTGAAAAAAATGTGTTTGTTATTGCTAATCTTCAATGAAAGTCTGACCATTTGCTTCGACATTTGGAGTGTGGCCTTTCCATTGATGTCAACCTGGGTGCTTCCATAGCAGCTGCATATTAGTACCCTCTCTTACCGTTAGTTTGCTATGAGCGTATGATGTGCTCAGTATTCCATTTCTACAAATTAAAAGAATTTTCTGTTAATTTTGATATTATTTCTCTTATTTTAGGCATACATGATGATCCTTCGGCTTTTATCCAAGCGTTTTGGAACAACGTGGTTAATCTTTGCCGCCAGAGCAGGAATGACTGGTACAGGGTTTACCTCATCAGAAAACTCTGCAGTCTACAAGGGGTTGAATGTGTCAAGAACCTTCTCCTGCAGGAAACGTACAGATGGCTGTTTCCCCAGGAGATTCTTGAGATGGTGGGTTTGAGTTCATTTAAGTTTATTATGCTGATATTAGTCGCAAGTATTTGTGCTTTAGCTGCTAAATCTGTTTCTTACAGAACCAAGATGATAGTCAGATTGACCAGTATCTAGCATGCGGAGCAGATTACAAAACTATAAGAGACGCAGTTGCCAAATTCATGCTAGACCTACACATCAACGGAATACAGAAAGCCATTGAGGTATTTGTTTACTTCTTCACACACGCACACACCATACCTGTCAACATTGGGATATGAAAATAAGGCATATGCCACCCCCAAAATCCCCAAATTAATATAATAATAAATATTTTGTTAAAATAACTAAATATATGATCATCTGTAGCTGTTTAAATTTAAATAAACAGTCAAACGGTAAGTAGATGTTTTATTATTAGTATTATTATTTACAAAGGGATAAAATAAATTGTATGCATTCGAAAAACAAACAGTTTTAACAATTAAAATTAATAGCTATTACAAAGAAATAAAATCAAGACTAAATTTGATATCTTTAGAAGTTATTACTATTATTAGTTACGTGTATATGTCTGTTCAAACCGTTCAAACACGCACCCAAAGCCCAGACTTTTGCTACTCTTTAAATCGCATACAGAAGCCATTTAGGAAACACAGTCTATTTATTGCTATGGAGCAAGCAGCTGACAGTCACGCGCCGCTACATGAACTGACTGTTTTGAGGATTGCATAGGAGGGCGACGGCAACTGTTATGGAAAGATCCCGTCGTTTTTATATTGGTTTCACAAAGTTTTCATGCCTAAACACATTTTGGAGGAAATTGATTAAATAATTTCTTCATAACTGGAGAAAAAAACTAAATAAACATGATCAAGAAACCAGTGGTGTGAGTTAGCACATCTAAAATGCAGTTTAAATACGAATTCAAGGGGGTTCAAAGAATTTAAGCTTTACTTTGCAAATCAATCAGACATTGCAAAATCAGACATTATCATAATTTTTTATTAAGAAATCCTTACATAAACATTGTAATAAAATGGCTAAATATGTTAAATTAAATACTTGTTATTTTTCATCCCCAATTTTGTTGAACTGCTAAACTGCTTTGACTGTGCTGACTAACTGACAGGCCTTTTAAAACATCTTTATTTGAAGGATTGCAACTGCACACCCATGAAGAAAGCAGTTTATGTGCTAATGGCATTTTTCAGAGAAGTCACTTCCCTGCACAGAACTGGAAATCCCAACATGCACCCTAAACCTGAGGTATAAGTACAAACATATGCTACAAATCCAAAAGAAAATCACATTTCACAACCATTTTTTTTATTAATATTGTGTTCTGGAATCTATATATATATATATATATATATATATATATATATATATATATATATATATATATATATATATATATTAGTGCTGTCAATTGATTAAAAAAAAATTAACTAATAAATCACACTTTTTTTGCAAATTATCATGATTAATCACAATTAAACGGCTGAACGTGTCATTTTGGCTATTCAAATGTAAAATTAATGTAAATTCGAGACAAAGAAACTATTTAAATTCAAAATATAATTGTTCATCAGAATTTTTGTCTAACTTGTGACGAAGATTTCTTCATGTAACCAACATACCTGTAACAAATTTCAAGATCCTCAAACTGTTGGCTTGAAACCCATATTCATTACAGAAATAAAAACACAGGCATGTTAGTGCCATTTGAATTTCAAAACAATCAATGCCATTAACAAACAAAAATTCTGATGTGGATTCTGGAAAATGTTGGATTCTAAGTGGACTTCAAAATATTCCAAAATACAGGCATTGAAAAGTTGTATTGCTGAGAGTTGAGAACATTAATTATAAAGTAGAAACATTTTTGCTTAGTACTTATTAGTATTCAGCCAACTACTACTACAGACAGTCCAGTCTGTTGACATTATCGGGGGACAATGTGGACCTTTTCTTTTGAATGATGTGAACTGAGAGTGAGAATAGTCTCTCACAAGCACCGAATCAATTTCAGTGCCTAATTTTGGTGCCACTGCTGCTGCGACAAGGACGTAAGAAGCATCAAAAGCACGCACAGGTATGCGTTGTTTCACACAAAAGACTATAGAATTCTTATAGGGACTTTGGTCACGCCATCTCTAAACATTTAATTCTAAACAACTTTGAGGGATACGGACATTTGCCATTTGTTCTTGTTTCTAGGAAACACCCACACGCACACATACACTAAAGAGCTTAGAATCTATGCTCTTTGCATACACATGCCCAACAGGTGCAATACAGCGCACCCGGTGAGCGACTCCCTTCAGATTCATCAACACGCACAATCGTGTTCTTCAGATTTGCTTAAACTAAGTGTTCTAAAGTATGGCTGTGTTTTAAAAGCAAGGATTCTGACACAAAAACGTTAAGCAGACGCTTTTCAAAAGTTGCATGTAAGGGGGGAAATGCGTCAAACTTAACAGTTAACATTTGAGGGCGCATTGAATCAACTTAAAGGCAGAGGAATGGGCTGTATTTGACAGCTTGCGACATTAACTGGCACTTTCACTGAGTACATTTACATGGACACCAATGCTCTGACTGTAACATGGTTAAGAGTCTACCATGTAAACAGCGATTTTTGATTACCTTGAAGGATCACCCGAGTCACAAAATGTGGAGGTTTTTTTCTTTCCATTCGGCATGCGCTATCAAATTCCATTAAAACAGCACTCTTCCAGCAGTCCTTACTGCATATTCTTATCCAATAATTGTCACGGGGCCATGATCAATATGTTGCTGAATGAGAGTGAACTGCAGTTAAAGTCTAAAGATTAAGAATAAAACACCTGAAATTACATGGAACTCTGGAGGAAACGCTGGATAGCCTGGTGATGCGTCATTATTTTATACTGAAACTTTCCTTCAAAAAAGCGCTTTCTTGGTCGCATCCATATTTCTTTGCACGTTACACACACGTCGGGCACAACAGGAAATAAAAAAAAAATGCAACTGCATTAAATGTGTTAATTTTTTTTAAAACACGTTAAATATTGTAAATTAATCACATGCGTTAAAGCACTAATTTTGACAGCACTAATGTATATATATATATATATATATATATATATATATATACACACATACATTTGAATACCTATATCTGATATGCAATTTGTCTTTGTTTTCTGTAGCATTGTGCTGGCCTTGAACATTTCATCAAAAACTCTGCCATTTTCGTCAATAATGAAATGAAAGCGTTTGCTGAAAAGCTGGTGAGGAATCAACTGGGTGCTCTGCGTGTACGACCACACATGCCTAGCAGAGATCTTTCACTGGTGGAGGTCACAATTCACATGGCAGCTGTCCTTCTGTGTGGAAATTTGCTTTTACTACAGCCACTGCAGAAGCTGGCGTTGTCTCCAAACAACATGATGGTATAAACCCTTCACGCTACAGCATCATGAAGACACATGGTGATCTTAAAGTCACGGTTTGTCATGTTCTCTCAACAGGCTTCGTTTATCCCAACTATGCCTGATGACATGTTGGCTGTTGCCCAGCAGGCCATGGGACACCTTCAGTGGTACTGTAAGTGGATTTTTTGTATCTGTGATGCTATAGAATCTGCCAGTATCATGCTGAATTTAAGACTTGATGATACTCTGTGGCTTTCAAACCTAGATTTTTTAAATTATATTCAATACAATTCAATTCATCTTTATTTTTATCGCACTTTTTACTATGTAGGTTGTGTCAAAGCAGCTTAACAGATGAAAAATAGAGAGTCATAATATTTTAAATTGTGGAATGTTCCAGCAATTCAGGTAATGGTGAGAGAAGTGTAGAATGCTGGTGTAATTGTAATGAAATTAAAACTGCTTCAGTTCAGTTTAGTATAAATATCACCGTTAATGTTCAGTTCTGTGTAGGTCAGATCAGTGTAATGCAAACGCCACTGCTTAAGGTCGATCCACTGAAGACCAACCTTTTTGGGAAATGTTCCCGGCTCTGGTTGCCCTGTTTATTGCAGCCTAACAATCCTTTAGAGAATAAGGATTTCAAAGTTATGCATTTGTGTTTTAGGTGTTTGCTAATAAAGAGATGTGTCTTTAATCTAGATTTAAACTGACAGAGTGTTTCTGCTTCCCAAACTGTGCCAGGCAGACTGTTCCAGAGTTTAGGTGCCAGATATAAGAAGGATCTACCACCTACAGTCGAATTCGATATTCTAGGAATAATTAATTATCCAGAATTAATTGAGAGTAGTGGTCGTGAGGGGCCATAATACACCAGGAAAACGTCAACTAGAACCTAAAGTTCATAGATAAACTTTGATGTTGGCTTGAGAAAGCCAACGTTACTGCGCTAGAACTGAGAATGGCAGTTGGCAGAAAGCACGGCGGCGGTTGCTAAGTGGTTGCTAGGTAGTTGCTAAAACGTTTATGGCATTGTTAGGTGGTTGCTAAGCAGTTGCTAAATGGCAATGCTCGTGTACATGTTTTATCAAATGCTAATACTTAGTAGGCATTTCTAGCATATGATATTGCATTTAGATAATCATTCATAGCATGTAGCGAATCGTTATTAGCACTTGGCTTCCATTATCATTGTTACCATGCATAGTACACTGGAGGTCCCATTTGCTAGCACGAGTCAAACAAGCCAATGCCCAGGTCCCTACGATGTTCTGATGTAGAGATATTGCTATTTTTAAATGGTTGCTAGGTTATACTGTTTTATTGCTATGGGGACATTTGACGGGTTAGTGATGATACATCAAAGCTTCTTGGCAATATGAGTGATCTAAATCAACCCCAATGTTTCTATGACAGTCTTTATGAGTGTCAAAAACTGGACTTGAACATTGTGTATTCCTGGTGTTGGGTTGCGGCTGGAAGGGCATTCGCTGTGTAAAACAAATGCTGGATAAGTTGGCGGTTCATTTCGTTGTGGCGACCCCTGATTAATAAAGGGACTAAGGGAATGAACATTATGTAAAAATGGCTTGTCGTATTTTTTTGAAAATACAAGGCTTAATAAGTGTGAAAGTGATACATGCAAAAAATGGCTTGCCATATCAGTAAAAAATATGGAGTTTAAGTCAAAAATAAAGTCATATTTTGAGAAAAATAATGCTTAAAAAATTATTTATTGAAAAACTATAAGTCTGATAAACGTTAAAGATATAGCAACAAAATCTAACGCATCTAAATACAGCTTTTGGCCAAATTTGGGGCTTGTATCATTTTTTTATATGCCCGGGTTATACAAATTTTATATTTAACATTTTTAATTTTAAAAAACGATAAGTTTTATAGGCATGAGGAGATATAGCAACAATCTTGAATGCAGAAGGCACATTTTGACCACATTTGGGCCTTGTGGCATGAACGGCCTAGGAGGAGATACGTTTGTTTTCAAGGACAGAGTAGTATAACAGTATGTTGGCTTTCTCAAGCAAACATAATAAGATCTAAAAATTTATATAATGTTTAATAGGGAGCCAGTCCAATGCTGATAGAATCAGACTAATATGAACATATTTCTTAATTTTAGAAAGCACTCTAGAAGCTGCATTTTAAACTATTGCTAGTTAGGCCTACAAGGCAACCACATTGTAATGCATTACAGTAGTCTAACCCAGAGGTCATAAAAGCCTGAATAAGTTTTTCCACATTAAATGTTGATAGCATATGTGGAATTATCAACACTTAAGATAAAAAAGCAGTTTTACAGATGCTTGAAATGTGGCCTTTAAATTACATGGTGCTATCAAATATCACCCCAAATTTTTTGACTGAAGCTGAGGAGCTCTCTTTTAACAATTTAGGCACAATGTCTAAAGCGTATGACGCAAAAGTATAAAGGCTGTGTTCGAATATACTTTTGCTGTTTTAAGGATGGAAAAATATGATCTGCGCCATGGCGCATGGTCTAACAGGGTTGCGCTTATTCTCTTAATGAGTCATGGCTGTGTTTTGCATAATGTGCATCAAACCAATCAGAGTCTCATCACCGATTCCCTTTAAGAGTCAGTTGTCACGCAATGGTGCATTTGCTGTTTACATGGCCAACTTTGTAAAGCTGAATGCTTCTCTAGCGAGAAAACTGTTAAACAAACCATCGCAAGGAGAAAGAATGAGCCTCCTCCATTCGGCCTCTACTTTACTTTTACTCTTTACTCCTTTACTTTCGTGGATAAGGAAACTGTGTTGTACCCACTCCACTGAAGACATCCATTAGCCTACATAATTAATTTTGTTTGTTAAGTGCAAAGATTTGTTTCAAAACTATTTCTAAATTCAGTTCTAATTTCCAGCAAACTAATAAATGAACAGTAATAACGAAGTGTGGTCAATTATTATTGTTATATCTAAACACACGTCCTATTCTTATGCCCCACATGGTGATGCATACGCCTTTAAAACCTGATTGGTGGACAAATCTAAACATTTGCATTTAATAAATAATGTTGCCAATAATAATAACATTATACAAATGTAAATTGTCATGAATAAACTGAAAAAAGCCCCCTCAGATAAAGATGGCATGGAGCTAGTGGTTTTATATTTATGTAGAAAATAATAATTTTTGTATAATTTAATCCTTTCTTTTCCCAAATGTAAAGATTTTTGTGTATTGCTCTACATCCTGTGTGTATAAAGCAATGTGTAAGCATTTGGACTTGCATAGGCTCACAACTAACGCACTCTGCGCTGGACTTTAGACCAGCTTTTAGTTGGTCAATGGAACAATCTATTTCAGTTCCTCAAAATAGCAACGCACCAACAATGCGCCTTAAAACACCTCCTTCTTAGACTGGCACACCCATGAGTCCACAAAGTGGCGCAAATGGATTTGCTATTTAAACCACGTGGTGCAAAATGTGAAAATGAGGCTTGCGCTGGTCTAAAATAAGCAATAAATCGCGCAGTACACATCTTGCCACAGGTAGGTAGATAGGGCCCAAGGACTAAAATGAACATCCATCAAGAGTTAGACAGTATTACAAGTTTTTGTGTGTAAGGTTTTTGGTATAATAAGTAACTTTTTAATCTGAATTTAGTAATAAAAGGTTATTAGTCATCCAATTTTTCAGAAATACAATGTTAAACGGTGGCATTCTGTTGCATTACCATGTTACTACAAGAGTAATATTAAATCTATGACATGGGAATACCCTATCAAAACAGTTTATGATTACGATTATGCAATTACTCACAACAAAACATTAAACGGTCGCAAACTATACTGTATCAAAGTTCTGTGATGTGACATATTCTAAACTGAATTTGGGATATTCAAAAAGACACAAAGAATGTTTTGATTTTACTATTTGAATACGTAGGTGAAGGTACATTAAAAGCTGCAAATACATTTGTAAATAAGATCCAGTAATCCTGTCATTCCAGAAAATTTCCTGAAATCTTCAATTTAAACATACAATTTGAAATGTTTTTGACATTGACAAGGCATTCTACATTGAAATAAAACGATCTCTATTTCAGTCTAAATCTCTGATGTTTTTTAACAGTCTGTCCTAATGGTCATCCATGCACTGTTGGTGAGGTAGGTCATGTCACTTATTTGCTATGATTTGGTTTACCATTAGTGCATGTACTGTATATAATACTGAATTAAATTTAATTAGAAAATTATATGTTTTTTTCTCCCAAAATCTAAATAATTTCATACATTTTTCCAGTGTGGTCAACCTATGGAGGTTAGTCGCTGTCCAGACTGTGATGCAGAAATAGGTGGTTCCAACCACAGACCTGTTGATGGTTTCCGAGCCATGCAAATACAGTAAGTTACTCTTGTAGTGAATGTGTTTTTCCTCTTGTATTGGTAACACGTTACTTGAAGTCATGAGTTGTGATACTCATTAGGTGTCATTTATTCAGTCATTTTAGATGCAAAGATGACATTGTTTGAGAGATGTCTATTTTGTATGTTTCCTCAAACAGAAGAATTTATTTTGAGGTAATTGTTTTATCTGTACAGAGCGGATCGTACTCAATCTGGACACATTCTGGGTGATGCTCAACGTCGTGACCTCCCTGACATGCAGGACACTAAGAACATGTCACCTGCCCCCTTCGCTCTTCTCAGACTGCTCACACACATGTCCATGTTGATAGGAACTCAGAACAATCCACAGGTACTGCGTTCCATATATCTTGATTCAATTATGCTTTAAACATGCCATGAACATTAGCGACTTATCATTCCAGAAGAAATCTGGAACAAGTCCTTCAAATTTCCAGCTTTGCTAAGCCAAATATAAAAATGGCATGCATTGCTTAAGGGCGTACTCACACTATGTACAGTTGCCCTAAACTGGGCCGAAGCACGCTTGTCCCCCCTCCCGACTCCCCCGATGGCCCGCACTCACATTGCATTGGAGCCTAGCTATGTTGTTTTAATCATTTGAGATGCAGTGACATGCAGTCAAATATTTCACCGAACAGATCAGCCACTTTTTACGCCCTAAGTGTGGATTTTTCACAGACTTCAATAGAGTGTAAAAAATATTGAAGTTCTGTGGGTCTCGTCTATCCAAACTGATCTCTATTTGGTATTTTCTATTAGATTTAAGTCAGGTGATTGGCTGGGCCATTCTACAGCTTGATTTTTTTTTTTCTCTGAAAGCATTTGAGAGTTTCCTTGGCTGCGTTTTGAATCATTGTCTTGGTGAAATTTTCACTCTAGTTTCATCTTCATTATCCTGCTAATGTAGAGGTTGGACTGAAGCAGCTAATATTAATTTACACTGACGAAGGGCAGAAGATTACTGAATAACTTCTGAGAGATTTTACCTGCTGTCTGGGCTTTCACTGCCTTTTTACACCTTCCTTTCTTCATGTGTTCGACATTTAATTTTATTACACCTAAAGAGCCCATATTATACATGAAATAGGGTCATATCTTGGTTGTAAGGGTCTCCAACAACAGTCTAATATGCATGCAAGGTCAAAAAACACTTTCATGGTCTTATAATCTGCATTTATTTTTACCTAATTATCCCAGCGACTCCCGTATGAATCGTCCAGTGATTTATTTGTTCCCAAACCCCTCCTTAGCGCGAAACTAATTTGCGCTGATTGGACCAATGACAGCCTGTTGCGATTGGTCGACTGCCTTCAGTCAGAGAGTAAAATGCACAACAGCTAATCAGCAATATAAAAGTAATCACAGTTCATACACACTCGATAGTGTAGACGTGGATTTTAGCTGCCAGTGGGTAAATGTAAATACAGTCGATGAACTTGAAAATTCAGACGACTAACTATTTTATTGAGCAAAAACTCCAAAAACTGTCGAGGAGATATCCAAGCTTGTCTCACTCTGCTCTTTTCACAGACACAAACACACACACACACACACACATTGCCATCGTCCGCGCACCTCCGGGCGACAACGCGCGCACACACACAAACACACACACATACCTCCGGACGACAGCGCACGCACACACACACTACCCTTGTCCACGGAGCTCCGTAAACAAAGCATCACGTGTCGCGTGACTTTGCACGCGATAAGAGAATATAGCCAGTTAACCTGATACAGTACACGCGGTTACAAGTAACAAATCACAACTAAATACATTTGCAAGCTAGAGTCAACGAGGCAACAACTTTAATCGCACGTACTTACACTTGAGAAATGGAGGAAGAAACCCATCCTGACGTCCATCAGTAAGTTAATCTTTACTGATCCTTCCTTTAACAAACGCTGATGAAGTATTCTTTGTAGCATGTAGTTTGCAGAAGTTTCCAGTAGTTTCCAACTGCTTGGTTATAATGCTGAGGTTTCATCTTTGGGTAGAGGCTCGATAATATCCATCTGCAGTGTGACTTCAATCGACCGGCATGTTTGTGTGCGTGTTTTTGTGGGTGTGTGTGCATGTGTCTGCGTTACTGCGTCAGAGGGCGGGGCCTCAGGTTTGAAATCTCCCGGGTTTGCGCGTGCACGTAAATAACTTGGTTTCGTTCGTACGTCATGGCGAAACACCTAATGACTCGGTATCAAGGCGACTCGTTTGAAGCACTATGAGTCGACTCTTTTATAGATGAATCAACCGTTTTAAACACTGTACACTAACAGATTTAAGCCTTAGCTGGATACTTCACTTCACTTAGAGCTGTGTTACACACTACATGGAGGGGAATTTTCAAAAACCCATAATATGTGCTCTTTAACTTAATTTGAAAACTAATTAGATTTGTTTTCTTTTTATATATGCATTTCTTTAGTTGTTATCAACATCTGGTGAAAATTTCAAGTAACAGCACCTTTAGAAATATGTTTTCTGAGAAAAATGGTGACGTGTTGAATACTTCACTGTATTTTGAAAGTCCTCCAAGATGATTAAATGCAGTTGTATTAAAAAATAGCAACACAACATAAGCAACACCTTTGTTATTAGCAATAATAATATTTGTAAATTGCAAATGATTTCCTTGTAGATGTGATACTGACTATAATCCGACAGAGCATTCAAATGATATACGCATAACATAATTGGACAAGGTCAGAACTTTTGGGAACAGTTGCTTATTTAGTGAATGTAAACAAACAATAAACTAAGAGTGTACTCACACTAGGCTATCCGAATTGTGCCCGCGCATGTTTGACCCCATATCCCCAGTTTGTTTGACAAGTGTGAGTGCTCCGTGTCTCACCTGGGTGCTGTTCAGTTTGCCTGCCCTGGACGCAATGTCACTTTTAAGGGACTGTTTCATATGGATTTATTAATCCTTCTTACTTTTTAATGCACGCGAACTGTCATAGTTTTTTTTTAAAGATAACCCCTGGCTGCATGTTTAGCACCTTCAGCTCACAATATGTGCAGCACAACTTTCATGAAAATATTTGAGTGTCAAAAGTGGTTGATCTGTTCAGCAAAATATTTGACTGTGTCATCGCATCCCAAAAGACTTAAAATATTACACAACAATGTAACTAAAGCAATCTCCTATGTAGTAAGCGAGAGCACTTCTCTTCCTAATTTATTGAGGTAACAGTCGCATCATCGATGACATAAGCGTGAGCGGGCCTGGAAGGTAAAATTGCAGTGCCTAGTGTGAGTACACCCTAAGGTGATGTGGTCCCAGTATTGGCCCAGCGCATGTCAACAGGTGTTCTAATTGACTCTCTCCAGGTCAAAGATTAATGCCCAATCCCAATTCTACCCCTTAGCTCTTCCCCTTACCCCTACCCCTCGTTTTGCGCGTTCCCGTGAAGGGGTAGAGGTGTCCCAGTTCTCTTTAGCTCGAAGGTGTAGGGCTAAGGGCAAGGGGTAGATAGCCCTTTGAACTGAGATTTTTTTAGGACAACATTTGAAACCAAGGGTTAAGAAAATTTCCCAGAATACACCAGCCACAATGGCTGGATAGCTGCACCCGGAGGTAAGGAGATCCACAAATTAGTATTTTTTTGTCATTATTATGAATTTTTACAACAAGCAAGCACAATGTTTTAATGAAGCATGAGATCGCGATGTCATGTGATGGCGTGTGGAGGTGCTGTAGTGCTGTCCCATTTCTTAGGGGTCAAATTTGAAGCCCTTTCCCTTCACACTCTGTTTTAATGGCCAAGGGGAGCACAAATAGAATTGGCCTAAGTGATACGCTAAACTTAGAAAAAGGAAACTGTATAGGCCCATTCTTTAAAAATAAACCTTAAGAAATGTATAAAAGAAGAGGGGGAGGGCAGCTTTTACGCCTAAGATTGTACTTGTCCACCACCCTGACAGACTATAGCCCCTTTCACACATACAGACCTTTCCGGAAAATTGCCGGCAATTTTCCGGAAAGGTTGTATGTGTGAACAGGTCCTTTTTGAAAATACCGGTAAATTCGTTCTGGCTATTTTCCGGAAAGAGAAGTTGTAACATTACCGGCAATTTGCCGGAATGCTGCGCTGTGTGAATGCAGAAGGAAGATTACCGTAATAAGCGCGTGCACGTCTAGAACGTGCTGACGTGAGACGTCTGCTTTAGCCAATCACAACATTCAGACGCGTTTACGTCCGCGCGGTTCATGAGAATAAAAGCTTTTGAATATTTTTCCAGACACCTTTAGCTGCTAGAAGTTAGTCAGATAAAGTTTATATGTTTTTCTTAATGCCAACTGTGTAAATAATCATCGATGAGATGCTTATGATAAGCCGTTGTTTGTTTACCTTCAAGCTTTGCGTGTGCCTGTGAAAACAGCCTGTGAGCGCCTGCACACGCACATATTATGAATCTCGACATGAGAAAGTGATCCTGCGAAAGTTGTTCACAATATTGATCATCCACAGAGTTTGTAATTTATAGTCAAATGTTTACAAATACAAGCGCAGCCGTTTAAAGCTCATTTGTGGTGAATGATGTCAGAATTTACCGGTATTTTGGAATGGATGTGTGAATGCTCTTTTCCGGAAAATTTCCGTAACGTCCTCGCCTGTGTGAACAGCGCTTTTTTCAATATACCGGTAAAGTCGTTCCGGAAATTTTCCGGATATTTACCGGTATCACTGTGTGAAAGGGGCATTTGATGGATGGATGGATGGATGGATATGTTTGAATTGAAGACAATATTTTTCTGACGGCACTTTTACCAGTATCTCCTATCTTTGCCCGTTTCTGTTCAGAGTATAATGCAGATTATCAAGCCTGCTGTGGTGCATCCTGATGCATTTCTGATGCAACATCTCTTGAAAGACATGGAGCAGCTGAGCAAGGCACTGGGCAAAGGAGTGGATGATACAGTCTCTACCATCCATTTGGCCATCCACAGTCTACTGGAACCCCATCAGACCAGCCAATGTACGAACACCTGCAACTATAAGTTTGCATTTGCTACTTGCCATACCAGTCCTGTTTCATTAATTCAAGCAATATCACCTTGTAAGCAGGGCCTGATCCATATGATCCAAACCTTTCCACTAAAGATGCAAGAAATGGGTGGGAAAATGCCATGAATAATGACGTCATCACACATCATCTGAAGGTAAACAACATTCCATCTTTTAGTAGATCACAAAACGCATAAGAATGATAACTTTTATCACAGGTAAATTGAGTAGGGAAGTAACATTAGGCAAAAACCAATTGGTTAAATGAGATGGAATGGTTGATTAACTGTTCCACCTTTTAAAAGTACTTGCAAACAAACCAAAGTATTTGAGAGGATTATTCATTGAATTGTAATCTCTCTCAGGTTTTGGAGCATCAGCTAAAGGAAGTGAACGCCTTCATCAGGGAAGATGAGCGAGTATCTTCTAATCCGGTGATGAAGCTGACATTTGGGGAACCAGGGCGTTTCCTGCGTTCTCTGCCTCAGAACTCCCTCATTCATAATTCATCCATCTGGAGCTGCAGGAATAAGGTCTCACTGATGAGTCTTACCCATATTGTGGAGCAGAATAATGGCCGGGACACTTTGCCTGTCCTCTGGAGATTCCTTCAGAGGGTAAGATGTTCATCAGCAATACAGATTCATGATGTACAGTTCTGTGATATACAGTGATATACAGTGAATTCTGCTTGTTTAAGATTTTTTGTTGTTGTTGTTTTATATTTTTACCCTTAATGGGACAGGACAATTGAAAGTATAAACAGGAAAGTGTTTTGGTTATATAGAAATAGAAATCACTATTTTAATTGGCTGCTTATAGTTATACTTAAATGCGCGTTCATCTGCAGTATTAAAACTGTGAAAAAAATCAATGAGTAATTATGGAAAATATGTAAATATTGACACAATATTGGTAGAATTTGCAATCCTTATGCATGTTTCCTGAGGTTAGTACAGATTAGACCAGCTAAACTAAATATACAGTTGGATAAACATGATTGTGTAAACACAAAATACCATTAAGTTGTGTTTAGATGTGAGAATGAAAGTGTGAGATTAGGGTGTGGATACTTTGAGACTAATGAGATGTTAACAATTTATTTTAGGAAGCAGAGCTTCGGCTGGTGAGGTTCCTGCCTGACATCTTGGTTCTACAGAGGGATTTAGTAAAGAAGTTCCAGAACATAACAGACTTAACCTACAAAACCATACGCGAGTTCCTGCAAGACCAGAAAGCAGGTAAAAAGTCCATTTTGAAAAAAAATAAGCAGGTGAAATGTTTATGGAGAAAGGTTTCGTGTTTGGTTATAAAATGATTATATCAGGCTTTGCTACTGTAGCAAAGTTGATAGGGTTTCTGCAGATATCATAATGTAAAATTTAAGACCATTTTAAGACCATTAAGTATTAAATTTAAGACCTATATCGCAATTTTGAAAACATGCATACAAATAAAGAGAAAATGCAAAATCACAAAATTTGTGGTAAAACAAATGTATTCAAATTGAACAGTACTAAAGACAGGTTAGATGCACCATTGAGCTACAGGAAAAACAAACAAACATCTTAAGGCTGATTTATACTTTCGCCTGGCGCCACATCGCACACATCATGAAATGGACGAGGCTTTTAAACTTGACGCGTTCGCCATTGAGATATTCTTTTAAATGACAGAGGGCGGTCAAAAGAAATAGACAGTAAAATCAGACAGATAAACAGAGAAGTAGAAAGCTTCCAGAACATATCATTATTTCCATATCAGAACTTCCATAGTCATATCATTAATATCATTCAAGATAAAAGTTTTTTATTATTTTTATAATTTATTATAAAGATTTTTATAACCATTCAAGATTTTTTTAATCTAAATGATGCATCACTTGCTTTTTTTCACATCTAAGACAGTTCTACCTATTAAAGTTAAATATTAAGGACTACAGAACTTGGGTTGCTCTACAATTATAATTGTTTATATTATATTATTATGAAATTATATTATGGCAAGAAGTACACTTACTGACAAAGTACACTTTGACTAGGCAGGTTAGGGTAATTAAGCTAGTTATTGTACATTCGCCTTGCTCTCTGAGTTCAATAACAGAAAGCTGATTGGCTATTGCATGTTGGTCTCGTTTGTAGTTGTAATACCGCAAATTACAATTGGACTAGTGAAATAGAGAACTACACTACGAAAACCAAGCAACAGCAACAAAAAAGAATTTAAATGAGCTTTAGATGTAGCGTTACATGAACATTGGAAAAGTAAGACCTGTGCAAAAATATTTACGACCTAGAACAGCAAATTTAACATTTTTAAGGCCTTAAATTTCGATTTTCTAATTTTAGACTTTGTAAGTCTTTTTAAGACTTTTAAGACGTTTTAAGGATCATTGGTTTTTGTTTTGTGCTAAAAATCAAGATAAATTGTCATTGTAATTAAAATGAACATCTTTCATCAACTAACACACTGTAAATAACATTGTATGATGATTGAGAGACTCCAGAGAAATCTCTGTCGGGCAAGAACTCTGTCTAGGGAAAAGCAGGAACCCCGGAACTGAATGTGCTCAACGTTTACGCCCTCAGATGACATGCATCTAAAACCTACATGACATGTTTGCCATAAACACGTTCTTCAACCGAGTTCTGCGAATGAGCGTTTCACATTTGGTGTGAACCTGGCATGATACAGTAACTTGATCAAAGTGAAACCATCCAGAGGTGCAACAGCACACCAGCAGCATGAGTAACTGGCAAATGTGTACTGGTACCATTGATAGAAGGCATACATTGGGTACATTTACCCCCAACCTTTTGGTTTTAGTGTTGTATATGTTTTAGTGTCGTATATGTTCAAGCATAGTGTTGTATATGTTCAAGCATATGTGTGTGCACAAATATGTGCAACTTTGCTATTTATATATGTAAAGATTATGTTCAATGCACAGCATAGTAATAGTGATATTTTCATTAAACAGCTTCACTCACTGCTTGGTATGAAAAGCGCATCAAAATCTTCTTGACAACGTGGAACCAAATAAGGGTATCTCTGGCTAACACAGGTAAGCCATCATTTATTTTTACTTAAACCCGTATTTCTATTTAAAAAAAAACATATTTAAAAAACTGACAGAATTTGCAAATGATTGCTTATAAAATGTGATCTATGAATTAAAAGGTAAACTATAGACAGAAATAACCTTAACTGCTTAACTAATGACACAAAATCGTGTTCTTTTCATATTGTGTAACATGTCGTCTTTGCTAAAATCACTTATCAGTGCAGAAAAACCAGATCATTTCTTGAAGATGTGACCCTGTTTGATACATAAATTGATACATGGAATGATCTGTTTCTGAAAGGAGAGATCAAGCTTCCGGCTGACTACACTGAGAAGGATCTTGGTCTGGATGCTGACCTGCAGGTGCTGCTGCCACAGAGACGTGGCCTGGGCCTGTGCTCCACTGCCCTCGTCAGTTACCTCATCACCATTCACAATGACCTGATGTACACTGTGGAAAAACACACCGGAGATGACTCAGAGTAAGAGATTCATCAGATATCCATTGCCAATTGTGTTGCTTCATATAGTAGTCACTAGGGATGCCACAATTTCTCAATATAATATTGAACCGTTCGGTACGACCTCCACGGTTTAATACGTGCTTGTGAATTGTGGTTTTCTCGGTTTTACGTTTAAATAATTTATTTGCGTTTTATATCTCCCTGAATTGACTGTTTGTGTGTGCCTGTAAGTCTATGAGCTGAGATGAGGAAACTCCTCCCTGCGAGTAAATATCCAATCACTATGCTCTAAAGTTAGGGGGCGCTAACCATCATTCCACACTTTAACCTGGACTAGCGGCGGTGAAGAAGTGAGGCAACAGTACGAGGAAGCCCCGGCGTCTTTTAAATCTGCGGTGTAAGGACATTTCGGTTTTGCCGTTGAGTATAATGCCAATGAAAGAATAAACAGTGAACAAAAAAAATAACTGTGCTTTACACATATAACCATGGCTGCGTCCGAAACCGCATACTTCCATACTATATAGTACGCTAAAATCAGTATTCGAGACGAGTAGTATGTCCAAATTCATAGAAATCGAAAATCAGTAGTCGAGAAGTACCCGGATGACTTACTACTTCCGGCGAGATTCTGAAGTGCGCATCCCATGCATGCTGCGCTATCCCATAATGCCCCGTGAGAGGATTCATGAATGGAAGTGAGGCGACGCAACTGACGCAGGTAGGTCACGTGACCATGACAAAATGGCGGATGTAGTACGTCCGAATTCCATTCATACTTTTCAAATTCATACTGTATAGAACAGGGATCAGCAACCCGCGGTTCTAGAGCCGCATGCGGCTCTTTAGCGTTGCCCTTGTGGCTCCCTGGAGCTTTTTCAAAAATGTTTGAAAATGCAAAAAGATGGGGAAGGTTAATATATTTTTTTGTTTTAATATGATTTCTATAGGAGGACAAACATTTTTGTTTTCAAATGCTGTCAAAATGTGTAGAATTAATATTTAATTTCAACATTTCTGTCAACGAAGATTTGCGTCATAGCCTGCGACACACGTTTCTATCAGCAGGGTGGGATACCAGGCAGGTGGCTGTTGTAAACAAACCAGGAGATAATAAAGCATGGAAAACCGTTCAAAGATGGTATGACATATTAGAACACCTATTTGCAAACTTTAAAAACAAAACCAAGATAATACAAAAAAATAAAGATATACCTCTCTCCACTAAGACAGTGAAGGAAAGGGCTATTAAATTGGCAGGTAACATCACCAATCAGCAAACCAAGGACATTAATTCAGTGCCAGCATACTCAATTGCCTGTGATGTGACCGATATTCAATGCGCTTTTATGCAGGTATGTGAACTCTGATGGGCCGCAAGAAGAAATGATCAAATTAATAACACTAAAAGACAAGAGGCTGTGCTGAAGTGTTTTAATGACAACAAAATAAACACCAACCACCTGATTTCAGTGGCTATTTAATCATGAAGGCTCATTATGTATTTGTAGCCAATTTAGTCATTTTGATAGTAGGCTAATATAGCTAATATAGATACACACAGCATGTGTTTCCTTCATTATAAGGCTTATATAAGGCTTTACATTTTTTGTGGGTACAGACATATTTGTTTTTTTTTTTTTTTTGGTCCAATATGGCTCTTTCAACATTTTGGGTTGCCAACCCCTGGTATAGAACATACTTTTCTAACGACCCAGTAGTACGTTTAAATTCAAAAATTCAAATCACCCAGCAATATCACTGTCTGAAGGCAGAATAGCAGAGAAGGTAATAAAGTCCTCCACAAAACAATTTGTTTTCGATGATTGGAGATGTGGGCTTTTGTCATCTTATAAAAGCACTCGATCCGCGTTACAGACTACCATCTCGCACCTTTTTCAGCAACGAGATAATTAAGATGGTTTATTTATGTTTACTTAAGTGCAAATATGTTATTTGAAATGGCCAATTTATCTTTATTAACTTCACATGTATGTTTATTTTCAAAGTGTAGGATTTTATGTTTTTCCCAAGTTTGTACATGGGCTACCAGCAGCTGTGAGATTTCAGTGTTATTTTTTTATACAGTACACTAGGAACTTGTGTACTTTTCTTGGCTTTTAAGTAAAACAAAGTATTGCAATAAATTGTTTATTTTTTCCTTAACCTCTTACTGTTCCTATTACCATAACAAAAAAAAAAACAAACAAAAAAACTTGTGTCAAGCCATAAGAACAGAACCGAACTGAACCGAAAACAGTGTTAAAAAACCAAGGTATGCATTGAACTGTGGGCTAACTGTATTGTTGCATCCCTAGTAGTCACTAATAATCTAGAGTCATTTATTAGAACAAATCCATAACTCTTAATACAGTTAATCATGGTGTAACTCATCCTAAATTGTCTGTAGATATGTGAAATAGTTTCCAATAATGTTCCCCCAACTATAGGTAATCACACTCCTTAACATCCCGGGGAAAGTCTAAAAATGTTATGGTAATATATTTTTGAGACAAACATAAGATCTAAAGTCTACTGAAATGGATGACAAAAATGACCACCAATGATAATTTAAACATGTAAAATAACTATTTCATCCCATTTATTGAAGTGATTATGTATTTTTTTTCGGACACAATTCATGTCAGAACATAAATCAGGTCTGAAGAGGTTAATTTAGTCTATTAAAGTGCAATACTACATATACTTAATTTTACTGCATTTTACAATATGTCCTTTTTTCATCATAGAAATTACAATAAAGTTAATGATGTGCCTAATTTCCTAGATGCATGCTATATTTCTCCATATTATTTTTGTCCCCTTTTCCAGTTACAAGATAAGCCCAGCAGAACTGACAGAGCTGCATGTTATCCGTTATGAGTATGACCGGGATCTGCTGCCCCTGGTGCTTGCCAACTGCCAGTACAGCATGGAGTGTGGACAGGAAACACTGCTGGAGTACGACCTGCCCAAGATTCAGCAACAGATCCTCACCCGCTTTCTTCAAGGCAAACCACTCATCACAATTAATGTATGTTATGGCACCTAAAGAGATGTATTTGACCACAAAACCAGTCAAAAAAGGGACACTTAAAAAAAAAAAAGAGATTTATACACATGAAAGCCAAATAAATAAGAGTTCCATTGATTTATGGTAAGCTAGGATTGGACAAAATTTGGTTAAGATGCATTTTTGAACATCTGGAATTGAGAAACATTGAGAAAACTGCCTTATATGGTTGTACAGATCAAGATCCTAGCAATACATGTACAAATAGTCTTTAATGATGTGTTTTTGACACATCAGTCTAAAAATATGTCTCATACAGTGTATTGCTGGCTATTCCTACAAATTTACTTGTGTAACTTAAGACTGTTTTTATGGTATGTATACAGCAGGGAAAATAAGTACTGAACACGTTACCATTTTTCTCAGAAAACATTTATAAAGGTGCTGTTGACTTGAAATGTTGACCAGATGTTGGTAACAAGCAAACAAATCCATATATGCTAAGAAAACAAGGCTAATTAGTTTACAAATTAAGCTATGCATAATAAAATGGAATGACACAGGGAAAAACAATTGAACACATGAAGAAAGGGAGGTGTGGAAAGGCAGTGAACGCCCAGACAGCAGCTGGAATCTCTCAGTATTTCTTCAGCAACCCTATTGCCTTCATCAGCGTAAGTTAATATCAGCTGCTTCAGTCCAACATCTACATTAGCAGGATGATGAAGGTAAAACCAGGGTGGACATTTCAGCCTGACCATGATCAAAAACACAGCAAAGGAAACTCTCAAATGCTTTCAGAGAAAGAAAATCAAGCTGTAGAATGGCCCAGCCACTCACCTGACCTGAATTAAAATCCAATATAAAATACAAACTAAAGATCAGGTTTTATAGATGAGACCCACAGGACCATCAAGATGTTTACTCTCTGTTGAAGTCTTTGACAAACTCACACCTGAGCAATGCATGTGACTTCATTCTCTATATGAGAGGTGTCTTTAAGCTGTCCTTTATACAAAGCATTACCATGTTTCAGTAGTTCAGTACATTTTCCTACATTTCATTATTACACATAACTAATATTTCATGTTTTTGGGGGTTTTGTTTTATTTTTACATTTGTAATGTTTGGGTTTTTACCTAAATCTGGTTCAATTCCATGTCAACAGCTTCTTTAGAAATATTATTCACAGGAAAAAAACAAGTTCAATACCTATTTTCTCCTCTCTGTTATGCAAATAGGTAAATGCATAATTCTCTTTCACTTACTGTTTTTTTTGTTTGTTTGTTTTTGTCTGCTTCAGGGGATTCCGACATTGGTAAACAGACAAGACAGAAATTATGAGATCATATTTAAAGATGTGAAGGGTAAAGTTCAGCAGGTAAGTTACATTGTTCAATGCATAATAATCACTGTCTCATACAGGTATATCTGAAATGTTGAATTATAAGAACCTCTCATATTATTTTGACTTTATTTTAATTAATCACTTGTTTTATTCTGCATTCGAAAAAAAAAAGTAAAATGAATAAAAATGAAATACAGTTGAAGTCAGAATTATTAGCCCCCCTGAATTATTAGACCCCCTGTTTATTTTTTCCCCAATTTCTGTTTAACGGAAAGCTGATTTTTTTCAACACATTTCTAATCATATCCTAATCTAATCAAATAATAGTTTTAAAAACTCATTTCTTATAGCTGATTTATTTTATCTTTGCCATGATGACAGTAACTAATATTTGACTAGATATTTTTCAAGACACTTCTCTACAGCTTAAAGTGACATTTAAAGGCTTAACTAGGGTAACTAGGTTAGCTAGGCAGGTAAGGGTAATAAGGCAAGTTATTGTATAGCGATGGTTTGTTCTGTAGACTATTGAAAAAAAATTATAGCTTAAAGGGGCTAATAATTTTGTACTTGGTGCATAATAATTTTAATCATTTTGTACTTGTAAATGGTGTTTAAAAAATGTATAACTGCTTTTATTGTTGCCGAAATAAAACAAATAAGACTTTCTCCTGAAGAAAAAATATTATCAGACATACTGTGAACATTTCCATGCTCTGTTAAACATATTTTGGGAAATTAAAAGGGGGGCTAATAATTCTGACTTCAACTGTATGTAAAAAAGCTTTAGTTTTAAAAGGCATTTAATGAACCGTGTAAATGTTTAACAATTCAAATGCACATTGCACTAAAATGCCTTTTGTTACTTAGAATTGTCTTGTTTCAAGTCCAAATATCTAAAAATACCTGAATCAAGAAGCATTTTCTAGACAGGATAAAAACACTGTCTTCTTTTCAGAAATAATAACTGAAAAATAAGTTAGTTTTTGCTTAAAATGGGAAAATAATCTTCCAGTGGGGTAATTAAAATGATCTTGTTTTCTCTTTGAAATAAGATTACATCCAGATAATTTAGCTTTTTAACATTTTTTTGACATTATTTCTAAAAAAATATATATTTTCAACTTGTCTAGAAAATGCTTCTTTATTTAAGAATCTTTAAATATTTGAACTTGAAACAGGACAAAAAGTAAAAAAAGCTTTTTTGCGCTGCTCCTTTAATTTGTTATTTAAGGTTTTGCTGAAGAGATACTTGTAGCATATTGAAATATTTCACAATCCTTACAAATTCAAATTGTATTTGTCACATGGATAGTCATATACACAACATGGGCTACGTACCCCCGTATACATTTCTAGGGAGCGAGAATTATGTGACCAGAGGTACGTATGGCTGCATTTCGTCTTTAAAACGAATTTGGGGTGGTATGAAGCCTCCGACGGCTTCTGTTTCTGTTTGAGCTACCAGCTGACCCTTTACCGCAGTTTGCACAGCTTTTTCGCTGTTACCAGTTTGCCCAGTGGCTCGCCCTGTATATTGCGGACTTGGGAGGCAGAGCAGAGTTGACCGTGACGATGGGGTTCGAGTTTGGCCAAGAATGATTCCAGAAAGCGGGTAAAACAAAAACAAAAGCCAAAAAGTAAAATAAACAAGTAAATAACAGTGTGAGTACGTGGTAAGATCTGAAAACCTGGTAAAATCAGGCAACAACGAAGGCTTTTCTTTTTCTGGATTGCTTGTGAAAATGCTGTCATTTGGGTTTAGAGAAGTGAGAGGGTGGGTCAGTCGGTGCTTTTGAAAACGTTGTCGGTTGGGTTTAGGGAAGAGGCTGTGCAAGTCAGTCTGTACTTTTGAAAACACTATTGGTTGGGTTTAGAGAAGGAGGTGGGTGGATCGGTTCGTTCAGTCGGTCAGTCAGTTAACAGCGGCCTCTTGTGGATTTACATGAGAAGAGCAGGTGCAAATGGCACTCACAGGTTGAGATTTTGAAAAAGCTTGCACAGTAACCTCTGGTAGATTTGCGAAAACAAAAACTTCAAAATAAACGTACCTCCTGGGACGTATTTTGCACTCTCCAGAAATGTATACAGGGGTTGGTACCCACAGTCAGCCTGGGCTGCATATACAGTATGATTTGCAGTGAAATGCTTACACAACCACTCATGAACTTAAAAATAACAACACCAAATATAGCTGCAAGCAGCAATTAAGGGGCCAAGCACTATTGGCCATAAGGTGGCGCTGCTCCAGATGTTTTTGAGTACTTTCAGGGCATGGGGTTGAAGATGCATACCATGTTTTGTAATGATATGTGAATGTGTTGGTAAAATATAGCATTTTTGGCCAAAAATCGAAATGGGCGACGCCCAAAATGGCTGATCTGTGAAAATCAGACATCATTCGACTCGGCATGCTCTGCCGGATGTAATAAGACCAGTTTCATGAGTTTCGGACGAAAGGTTGAGACGTTATAAGCCAAAAAGCAAGTTTTTAGTATCTCCAGACCACTAGGGGGCAGTGCGTCGAAACTCCGTAATTAACCTTAGACCCTAGTTGTCATAACACACACCAAGTTTGGTGTGAATCGGTGAATGCGTTACAGAGATATCGCCTCAAGTCCATTTTCGCAAGTTCTACATTAAATTAGTTCGCAAGTTAAACGAAAACGGTTGGTCAAATCAACTTGAATTC